AACTTCAATAGACGGCCACAAAGAGATGAAAGAGTAACGTTGAGCGAGAAACCATCAATCAGAAGACTGTGTTTGTTTGCTTACAATAATCTGTAATAATGTACATGAAAATCTACAAATATCTGTTGATTTCCTAAATAAATGATCTGTTGCCTGGCCCTTGTTTTCTGTTGTTACAAAGCTAAGTTAATATTTATTGTTGGGTTAAACTATAAACTATCATCAATGATTTGTTTTGTTTTTTTCTATATCATCTGCTTTATTCACCATCATCATTGTCTTGATAAAGAGATATTATTTTCTATTTCGCTTATTTTTTACAGAGTTTTATTTGTCACCCTCTATTAATACAATCGTGTTATTTCGGTACATATTCTTCTGTTGTTTTTCTTAATGACTTAGAACACAGAACCTGGTACAATAGTCCGAGGACTAGGATTATTGACCAGGCGCCCAGACTGAAGCAGGTGGTTGTCTTAAGTGACCACTCTCGAGCCTTCGACTTGGAGTCTTATCCATAAGACAGCGGAACAGCGTCACCAGCTACCTTCCCATCGTAACCGGTGACCAATACAGGTTCGTACACCATTCGATCCGTTTGAATTCTGGAGTTCATATACCTCATAGTAGTAACTGCTTTTAGTCTAATCGCTATTCAAATAACCTTCCTAGCATCGTAAGATTTGCAGGAACATAAGTTTCAGCCAAGTGTAGCTTGTTGGGTAATCGTGATATATGCAAGCGCGACCACCACGAGACAAGGTGGTGCAGTTAATGTAGACGATAAAGTTGGTGAATTTCATCTGTTAACCAACTACAAGTAAGTGAGGAAGTTACAACAAGGTAGAGGAGAAGCTTACTGACTTCTTTGACAGAATTCCGTGTGTTATCGCCACAACAAATTGTGGAAAATCTAATGGGGATTATGAAGTTTCCCTGCAACTTGCCTAACACGTAACTTTGATAGAAGAGTATTTGGGCAGTGTTTATCATTTCAACGCAGAATAATTTTATTTGACAAACAAACAGGGTGGTACAGTATTATCGTATTGATGATATGACGTTCCAAGCGCCATTGATTTCTCAAAGTATTCACATAATTTTCAAACTTTGTTTATATAAGTGTCTACAGTAAATAGTACTTACTGGATCACTGTGTTTTCGTCAAATAAAATTGTACAGTTTAGGGAACACGTGACTGATTTTATTCACAGAATTGTGAAACGCAATGACGATATATCCTCCCTAGCCAGCAATTATCGTATAAAATGTGAACAGAAAAATCAAGATCAAAAATGATCTTTGAAGTTTATTGATTTTTTTGTACGAACTAAAATAGTTTACAAATCGACAGTTTAGGACAACACATTCAAGCGAACAATATTGTTTTCAATTAGATCTCATCAGGCTTAATTCTAATATACATAACTTAACAAATAAAAATTCAAATATAAACCAATCATGGTGTTTTGTCTATAGGATAATAAGATGGTGAATATAAATTGTGCAATTAGTCATAATAGTAGTAATGATAGTAATAATAATAATAAAAATGGTCTTATCAATAATAAGGATGAAAAAGTGAGGCAATCTGTGATAACACGAATAATGAAAAAACGGCATGATTAAACAAACAACTGTTCAGGTGGAAGTAGTCGATAAAGGCTAGTAAAAACAAATGAACCGATTAAGTAATGTTAGATTGTAAGGGAAGGAAATGAAACACGTTTATAATGAAGATAAAATTAAGGGATGATAAGAAACGGGTTGAAAATATAAACAAAGGGTGGTGTAGAAGTCATTAGTTGGTTATGTCTTAATAGGCCAAGGGAGGGATAATGGCTGTACGAACTTTTTTTGAATACATAGTTTAGGTTTAGTAGTTCGAATGTCTATCGCCTCAGCTGTGTGCAGTAAACGAATACGAAGTCTATTGGAAAGATTCGGTGGGATACGATGAATTACTTTGAAAGCTCTCGTTTTCTCCACTACATGACCATTATCAATTAAATGTGACAAAATTGAGCTACGGATTGTTTTTGTCTGTCCTTTGCCAAACCACGATGGGAGATGTTCACTAACACGTTGGCTAAGCTGTCTAGTAGTACGCCCAACATAACTGTCACCGCAGGTGCAGTTGAATTGATAAATGCACATAGATGTGGCAAAACTATCAAGCTTATCCTTCGTTTGCGTCCCAATCATTCGTCGGCTAGAGAATGACAAACATAGGTATGCTGCGTAAAACGTTCTCCGTATACTCCTGGAAAGTCTCTGGAACAAAATCTCACTTGATAAGTCACCATTAAATTGTAACTTAATAAACAGAGGCTTTTTACGTGCAGTCAGAGTCTCAGATTTTCTCTCTGATGTTTTCATATGTTTCTTTATGAAACTACTCGGATAGCCAATCTCCGTCAAGGAATCGTGGATATATTCAAATTCCTTTTGTAAGAGGTCATTCGTACATATTTTCTTGCTCTGCTCGCAAGACATTTAACAACATTCCTTTTATATTTAATGGTCATGTAACTAAGGAAGTGTGTGTATTGCCCTGTGAATGTGCTTTTTCTACACACGCTTCTCCCAAGTGACCCATCTTCTCTCATACTTAGCAAGACATCCAGAAAATGTAGTTTATTCTCCTGCTCCTCTTCACAAGTAAAGGTATGCGAAGGGTGGATGTTGTTGAATTTCAGCAACAATTCGTCTCTGTTAACATTCCCATCAGTTATGATTTTGACATTAAGTCAACTCATGATCTTAGTGGGATATTTGATGATGCGTTATTCCGTACTTCAGTTAGAGACTTGTACTTGAATTGATGAATAATCTCCAGGCTGCATCAGTCAAATCACTTTGAACAAATTTCATTGAAAATATGCATTAGATACTTGCACCTCGGGTTATAATTATTACTTCATATTACTCGTAGAGTTTCTTCATTTCCAAGTGATCTGAGCATCATCTTAAGTGAGGCTTGATGAATCCCTTGTGGGTAAAATTAATTTTGATATTGTCTCACAGTGTTATACAGTAATATTTACTGACGACCACATTTCGAGCACAATCTATTGCTGCTAGTCAAACAACTTTCTTGCTTCGTTTATATGATTCCATTATTTTTCATCGCTTGACTTGATTGTTAGTAGTATTTCCTATATTTCCGGTATGACTGATGAGTCATTGCTATTGTACGTGTTGGATGTAGATTCTATGAACAAAGATTCAGTAATCAACCTCTCTCTCTACCTACCTAGATTACTTTTTAGAGTTTTGACTCACTTCCACCCTATTGTGCTGTTTTGTGTTAATGCATGCAGTGCAACTGCTGAACTTTTGTCTAAATTACTTATCTTCACGGGTGGGGTCAATCATTCTAACCTTGGCTACATTCTTATGTTGCGACAATCTGACTACTCCCGATCTACTAGTTTGACCTATGTAGTTGACCTAACTCACAGTCATTTCAGGGTATCTTGTAAATTATATTATTTTGTCCAATTGGGTCAACCGACGGAGTCGTTTAACCTACAGAGCCTGTCTCTGAGTGAGTTTTTAGGTTTAGATGACACCCTAATTCATGCTTTATTAATATTGTTTCCGAAGTTAAAACTATATCTTACCAACCTGATGTTGAAAACTTATCTTCTGATTTAATTTCTAAATTGCCTTTCTATAAGAGATATGTAGACGATATCATTTTGATATGCGATGATCATGAAGATGCGAGTCGTCTGTTGGACAGACTTAACTCTGTACAGAATCATATTAGTCTTACATGCGAGGAAGAAAGTCGCAACCAGCTCGCATTTTTAGACATACTTCTGAGTCGAAGAGACGATGGCTCAATAAGACGGTCTATCTACAGAAAGCCCACTTGGACAGGGCAATATCTTAATTTTCACAGCTTCTGTCCATTACAATATAAGAGAGGCTTGGTGAAGTGTCTACTTAAGAGGATTCAGCGTATTTGCACGGCTGATGTTATAGACAAGGAAAACGAAATATTGATGGATACTCTTGTTGAAAACGGATATCCTTTGAAGTTTTTAAACAGGTGTAGGAGTCAACTAGCCTCTAAACCTACAATCCATACCGTCCCTAAGAAAAAGGTTTTCATCAAATTACCATATAATGGGGAAATAAATAGTAGGATTTTGAGACAAAGGTTGAATTCCATCATCCGTAGAACCTACTATGCAGCCCAGCTTGTAATTGTCGAAAAGGCTAAAAATATGCTTCACTGGAAACCTCAAAAGTGCACAAGTGATTATATCACATCCCATACAATTTACCAATTTTCGTGTGTGTGTGTGGACATACATACATAGGGAGGAGTAATCGCGCGTTGCACGTGAGGGTGGGAGAGCATATCCCAAAGTGGTTATAAAAACAGATGAATTGTGACAAGCCAATAGATGCAGGTGTCAGACTACCAACTTCGTCTATAGCTGAACATTTAATCGAGATGAACCATAAGGTCGATGTTAACTCAGCCTTTAAGGTCATCTGTAAAAACGGTCAAGGACGTTTACTGAAATACGCTGAGGCTATAGCCATTCATAAACTTAAGCTCCCCTTGTGTATTCAAAAACAGTTTGTTATTACTCTTAACCTACCTTGGTAATCCTTATTTGATTGGATTACCAAACGTTTGTGTTAATTATTCTTAATCCTTTTTTTGTCACCTTGTTTAATTTAACTTTTCCATATATATTGACTTGACAAGTAAATGTGTGATCAGATTGTTCGAAATGTATAGCGCTAATACATCACATTTTTCAGATAATCTCCGTCTTCTAATAATGCTATCAAAATTTATAAAAGGGACTAACTGTTTTAAAGAATAATAATAGTTCAATGTATTGAAATGTACGGAAATATTTATCCCACAGATTTAAAAAATATTCAAAGTTATACAGAAATTTTATATTCATAAAAATAAATTATCTTAAATGCATAAGTATATATATATATATATATATATATATATATATAGCAATTGCTTTACACACATATATCTGTCATAACAATATCTTGTGTAGCTGTAGCCGCCTTTTGTGATGTTAATATATTTCTCATGTGTTCAAATCCAGATTCAATGAGATAATGGAATTGTGGATCTTTGGCTAAATCTGCCAATTCATCTGCTGCAAACAATTCGTCTGGACTTGGTAGTAAGGCAATTACATTGACACCTATATGATGAAGAAAAGAAAGAAAACGACAGCACAACGAGATAATGAATAACTCGTCAATTAAGAAATAAACACACACACACACACAAGTAGTCAAGGCTGTATGTGGAGGTAATATAGTACTTTTGTGTTAAACTGTTTGTTCAGTAGACAGATTGAGTGGTGTGTGTTGTGCGGAGGCTCAAGGCGTCAAGACATTTTTCTTATCTCAAAGGACAAAAGTGTGCATCATCAAATGGAGATCATTTGGAGCGCATAGTATCTGTTTAATCGATAATCGATATAAGAGATTAGTGGTATACTGACTAAAAACGATATTGACCGTCAGTTGTGCCCTGAAACCTTAGTCAGCAGTAAACAAAATTTCACCACTATGTGTTTTATATCAAACAAACAAAAGAGGATAACAAAAGTTGATAAAGCAAGATTTAATGAATTCATCAAATTCTGGTAGAACTCTTCAACTGGACACTCTACACACAGAAGATATATATATATATATATACCATTAGAATTACATTGGGACATATAAGACTGATGCTATTGAATTCCTAGATGTCTCTCTGATGAGAAGGATAGACGACACAATGGAAGGATCTATACTTGGAAAGTCTTCAAGGAAAGGACAGTAGACACATGTTACAAGTTTTGTTCCAATCCGATATAAGAAAAGACTATTATTCAACAGAGCATCGAAAATTTGTTGTGATGGTACAACCGGACATGCAATAAACACTAGGAAGGATAATTTATGTAGGAATAATGGAGTTATACTCTACCACCCACCACAGTGCCTAAGTTTGATACTTATATCAATAAAAGGTAATCAGACTATGTTCAATTCATTTTACTCTAAAGGGTATAAGTGACTGATTAAATTTGCACAAAAGTATCCTACATCATCATCCACTCATGATAATTAAAAACAGTAACCGTAAACGAAAGGGAATAAGAGTGTAACGATGCTACAGTGGACAAACAAAAGTGTGTGTGTGAGAGAGAGAGAATAATTTCAGAATATGAAAGATGACAAGGACTGAGTACATTTCTGATATTGTGAACAATCTTCAACCACTGTACTGGTGGTTCTTAACCTGTCAAGGACTGCAACCAGACAGGCAGGTTGGTTACACCTCTCCCTATGTGACTCAGATCAACGGTGAATGACTTTATGGATTGATATCATGTTTTATTCCAACCGCCTTGAACTGTTTTCCATTCCTAGAATACACTGCTTTTTATTATTATTCACTTGGTTTCAATGAAATTCTCATGACTATGAGGACAACTGTGGTGTTTTTTTGTTTTGTTTTGTTTTGAGAAGGATACCGTCAAACAGACAGTTTCCCATTCTGCCACCAGTTGTCGCGATGAATTTATTATAGAAAGTGGATATTTGAATTACATTTCGATAGAATCACTTTAAGGAAAAGCTATTCTGATTATCATAGGGATAAATTATTATTTAATATTAAATAATTTAATGCTATTCAGCGACATGGTGCTTCATTTATGTAGTAGGTTGAAAGACATACATAACTATACGATAGAAACTAGTTACTGAGAAAAAACGTTGGTTAGGTGACTAGTAGTGGAATGCAGGAAACACACTTCGTCCCATCCGGGACTTCTTAGCTGAATGTACCTTCATCTCAAAGTTAGTGAGATGTTCTCACTGAGACTGAAACTCAGCACCCATGGTTTCAAACCCAAAATCGTTACCCACTGGACTACAAGAGACGCTTCTTGTATTCATGTTATTCTTCACATATAATCAAAGCGTTCATATCGGGAGGTGACATGTCAGAATAGACTCAGCATTTTGGTTCAATGTGCGTTTGTGGTTCAGTGGTAGAACGGTCGCCAGCCACACACAAGGTCATGGGTTCAATCTTCGGCTGACGCACTCCTGAACCCCGCTAAGTGGGTAATAAGATCACTAAAGAGGGAAGGTTGGGCATGACGTTAACAACCAACCCCACTTCGCAGTAAAAGTAGAACCAGTGCTACCTAGACTTCAAAGCTGTGGCTTGAAGCTTTATGTGCAACTGGGAACGTAAAGGAATAAAAAAAATTTTCGGAGCAATGCAATCAATCAAATGAACTTTAAGCAGATATTATAAACATACCACTTTTGAAAAGATCAGATACAAGTGCACATATGAAACTTCGTGTACAAATTTCAATAGGATCATGTACATCACCAGAAGTAGACCATCTGTAATAAATTAAATTATAGTAAATACTTAGTAAGTAGTATATATACTGAAGGTTTTCACTTATGATAAGTTTATTTCAAAGCAACATTAGAGATATGCAAAGAACAAAAGTCATTGATTCGATTTACTTAGAAATTCATAAATTTGGATTGATTGCACACTGATAAAGAGGACAGGACAGCTTCGTCTAGTATTTTGAGTCTGGATCTTAGTTAGAAGTTCACAGTAGTCAAGATACCAGTTAAATTTTCCAAATGTTAAAACAGAAATTGTCAAACTGGTGGGTGGGAAGGGGGAGTAGATAATTACAAGCAAATCTCGACTCATATAAGACCTAAATTTCACCAACTTCAAAAGTATCGTGAAACCTAGCTGAGGGAATATTAGCTGTCATAGGATCACGTTGGAAAAGAGCCAGTGGTGGTCAAACCATAACATGACTTCATCAGCCAATGAAACACAAAACAGTTAGTTTAAGCCAGTCACGTCAAGAGGTGTAGGCTTCCTGTTAGGAGTCCTCGAGATAGTAGAAACCGATGGCTACAGACGATCGACGATATTGCTCAACATCGTTCTCAGTGGCACAGATGCTTTCACTTTTTGAGATTTACAATACCCAACAAAGCTCTGTTGTTCTTCCATATTACTATTCTTTTTGCCTCATATTTCTGTTTAATATCTCTCTTTTGAATCTTTCTCTACTCTCTTCTCTTGCTTTGTGAGCTACAAGGAGGGAGTGTGGCAACTCGAACTGCGGCATATCTATGCAAAGTTCTACGTTGAAACCAGTCAGTCAGTCAGTCAGGGGAAATATATTTGCTCATGTGAATATAACTGACACAGCTGATAAGAAGTGCGTACACTTAGCTAGGAAGTTGTCATTCGTACATATATACACTTCGGAAACCCCAATTATTGAAGCATTTCTAATTAGTACAGTAGTTGTTTCTACTAAAATAAGAAATAATTTTTTATAAACCATTTCATATCTATGAACTTTAAGATTATACAATTCAGCAATACTGATTCCCTTCAGCGTCAACTATTTGAGTAATATTATTCATTGTTCCTTTGGGTTCCAATTAGAACATGGAGCTTTAACAACACATTTCCCCTCTGTCCTATTCGCTGCAGTCCTATTAAGCTGGTCCTACAGTTACCTGTAGTCTCTGATGATCTATTCCATGTCACCCTCGGACACATGCCCAACTCGTAATTTCTCATTCAGGTTCTACTCGATAGTCTGGCGTGCTATGTCATCCGACAGTCTCCTCAGAGTGTTTCTGATCCATCTCCATTTTCTCCTATATATATTTGCAGAGTAATTCGTTCTTGGTTGATTCTCTTCCAGAGTTGTTTAGCTAATTCGTTCAGGCCATTTGTTCGTAACTACTGAGCCAGCGAAGATAGCTGCTGTTAACAGTCTACAACCTGTTCGAAATACTTTCGTGACGCGATGGCCAAGTTCCTGAGCCATATAGAGGAACCGACTTAACATTGGTGTTGAAAATCCGAGTCTTGTTCTCTGTGCTGAGCGTGGAAGATTTTCAGATTGACGCAGCTTTGACATCTTTATCCGTTCCACGATTGATTGAAAAGTTGCTTCCTAGATAAGTGAAAGCAGGAAGTAACCTCTGTCAAATCTCTCCCGTTGGTGGTGTGTGGTGCTGGTTGTTTTGTTGTTATTGTTGCTGTTACTGTTGGTTGGTTGGTTATCTTCATCACCTCCATCTTCTCTGTGTCCACCTGGAGTCCTGTCTTCTCTGCTGGCGTCTTCAGCTAGTTTGTTGCTTTTCGTCTGTAAGTCTTCAAGTTTGTGTGACATGAAACACAAATCATCCACGCGCGAAATCTAGACCTTCTAGGGTCTTCTTATTTATTTATTTATATTTTGATCACAGCTTGATGCCACACCGTATTTTCAGTAAAGTATGGCATTTTCAGCATGGATATCGGTAGCCCAAATTTATCAGGCCGACCATAGATATCGGGTGTGCGTCGGTAGGGGATCGAACCCCGGACCATGTGCATGGTCGGCGAGAGTCCTAACCACTGTGCCACCGACGCACGGTGGTCTAGCGTATTCCTGCCTCCTCACTCCTATGCACAGTTTGACGTATAATCCAGTCCACCACAATTAGGAATATTATTGCGGATAAGAGGCATTCAGTCTTGTCTTACTCCCGTATTCACTTCAAGCACCTCACTGAGTTTGACATTGTGGATCACCTGAGACGTGGCATTATCATACAGCTGGGTGGATAAAGAATTCTTTATGAGTCCTCCAATGTCAACAGGATCAATACCTTTCTAATGTTACTTTATAGTGATTTGATTGCCTTCAGGTTTGATCATGGATTGATTTTAGTTAGAGGAGTATTGAAAGTCAACAGCTGTTTCGGCCTATGTGATCTATGACTTCCATGTGGAATCAATCCCAAAAGCTCTTCAGATTAGAATGCAGGCTGATTTACCATTCAGCCAATGGGACAGAATCAATAAAAATACATACATACACACACTTACTCATCCATTCGAATCGCTTGACACCAAACATGTAATAACAATTCATCTCGTGCTTCCATAGGATCATGACAATCATCGTTTGGTCTTAAATCTGATACAATCTGTAAGATGTCAATTAGAATGAATGCTCGACGAAAATGCATAATCATTTCAGAGAGTAATTGTTGTTTATCATTGGACTGATTATCATCATCGTCATCGCCTTCACGGTCACCATTGTTGTTACTACTACTACTACTACCACCAGTTTTCATGGTTTCATTTAAATAGGCTGCATTATTCACATATAAACGAACTAATACTGGTATAGAGAGAACACGTTTAAAACGTGGATTTGAATCAGACGATGTATTGTTGTCAAAAACTGACTCTGATTTAACATGATTTCGATCAAGCAATTCCTAAAAGGAAAATTTTTAGAAAGAAAAAAAAATAATAAATATTGTCGAGATAGAGTAATATAAAAACAATTAGATTTTTGAACACAATGCAGGTGGAGTGGTTGAGTATATATAATATATATATATATATATATATATATATATATATATATATATATAATGTAGATTAATAGATAACGTATTAGTATACGCGTAAAACTTAGGCACTGTGGTAGTAAGTAATTCCATATTAGTTTGTTTATTAGATATATATGACACAGTGAAACAGTATTATTTACTGGATGACGTTTCGAACAAAATTTATTGTATTGTATCGCGTGAGTAATTCTGAGGTTCGGTGGCGTGTGTTTGAACACAGTGGAGATCAACATTCATTGAGTGTCGTCATCTGGAAACGCCAACTCCGGTGGCTTGGACATGTGCTGCGAATGTCATCCCAGAGGCTTCCGTACAGGTCTCTGTTCGCTAGCCCTGGGACGGGATGGAAAAGGCGGAGGGGTGGTCAGCCCATGACGTGGCGTCGTGGGATGACGGATATTTGTGCTAGATTAGCATCGGTTGGTGTGTCACGACTCCCTGGTTGGGGTCCGAGACATAGCTCGAATCGATGGCTTGAAACGTTATCGGATATGGCCAAGAATCGTAATCAATGGCGAACGTGTTGCAATTTCCTTCTTTCTTCCCTTCCTGATGATAGTTAACGAACACTGTTTGAACTTGTTAAACATGACTGTTTTCCTTCCTGATGAAGTTCTTTATCCGTTTTCTACTTATATTTTTACTTTTAATCTATGTTGTTTTATTATTATTGTGTGGCGCATCTTTCTTGGTGCCATACTGTACCAAGTTTTCCTGCGTTTAAATAAATAAATAAATATTGTTCATAATCATGTCAGTTATAATCACACGACTTTGAAACTTGAGTTTTATAGTTTTCTTTGTCCTCTCCTATTTGTCGTCGTAGGGGTAGTAGAATTTTCCAGATATCTGGCTGGACAGGTGTTGAATCATTCCTATTACATGTATTTGCAGTTGATTCGATAAACAAGGCTTTTGTTATCAATCTCATCTTCCACCCTGTGACATTAGATTTTAAAACTGTCATCCTATTGTATGGTTGTACGTAACTGCATCTAGTGCTATAGCTGAAGTATTCTCTAGATTTCTTATCTTATTCGGGTCAACCAATCTAGATCTTGCTAGGTTTTATGCTCGGCTAGTCTGACTGTCCCTGTTCTACTAGTTTGATCTATATATTTGACCTGACAATCATTCCAGCATGGTATTAGATAAGCTAAATTGTTTTGTCTTAAAGTCTCCACAGGATCCTTTAACCGAAAAAAGCTTGTTTCTAATTGAGTTTGTGGTTGGTTTGAATGCCAGTCACTTTTATTCCTGCCTTGTTAAGAATTCTGCGTAAGGTTTCCGAGGTTTCTTCCTTGTATGGAATCACTACTGATGGTTTAGATTCCTTATTGTTGGTGTTGCCTTGCTTATTAGGAAATTTAACTATTCACCTTTGAGTTGCACTTTTCTTTTGAACTATTTTGCGACATGAAGGTTTCAACCAAGACACCTTAAACGAAATGTAGGCCAACTTACATCATCTCTAGCGTAGACGGGATATCTGACTATCTACCAAACTGCAAGGCAGTTCTCTCTATCCTTCTCTTCTGCTGTGAGAAGTGACCATTACAAGTGGAAGATATGAAAAAGGTTAGTTGTATGTGAGCACAAATGTCGCTGTCCTTCCGTGTTAACAGTGGTATTATATATGATGAGTTATATTGACCGATAGGCATAAAGTGTTAGGGTAAGGAGAGGGTATGTCAGTCGATGACGTTGTCAAGCTATACGTCGACTGAGAAACGTGTTTCGCATGTGTCACGTCCACGCCATCCTCCATGGACAATGTTAGCTGACGTAGGATTAGGTTGGAAAAGTGTCAGTGGTCATCAAGTCAAAATTTGAAATCAGTTCATAAAATATTTGACAGTTAGTTTAGGCCAGCGCCAGGTACAGAGGTGTAGACTTCCAAATGCTAAGAATCAATGGTTGGTGCCTGTGTTGGTGATATATGACTCAAAATCATTCACAATATCTCTCAAACATTCACTCTTTGTGATCACCAATATCCATCCGTACATTATAGCTCTTTTGACTCCACATGTTTTCTCTACTTTTGTGTGCTTCAGATGTAGTGAGCGCGATGTGAATGACTGCACTTGTGTGCAAAGTTTTACGTGAAATATTAGTCAATCACATGTAGGCTAATACTCGGTGACTTGATGATTAGAGAAGCATTGAAAAATTCGGGAAAACTAGACGACCGTTTCGTCCTGGACTGGGGCTCCTCAGTAGTACACACTCATTGGGATTCAAAACCAGGACGTCCTGGCTAGAAGGCGAGCTCATAGACCATTCCAATCACTGAGAACCGACCAAATCACCCACGAATTCCAACTTGTGCCCATTCCACCAGGTCAGGTAAGAAAGCACTTACTCGTCTGTGACGTTGGCTGACGTTTGCGCAATACATATCGCGAATTGAAGGAGGTTGGAATTCACAGGATGATTAATGGATCTGATCTCAATGGCTGAATGGTTTGTGAACTCTCCTTGTAGCCGGAAGATCCTGAGTTCAAACCTCAGTGGTCACTTAGTATTGAAGAGCCCAAAACCAGGACGAAACAGTTTTATAGTTCTCAATGTCTTTCTTTTTGTCTCCAATCGTATACACACAGTTAACAAATAATATACTTTAAAAGAAAACATTTCACCTACTTGAAGTGATATCCAGTTGAGATAACCATCAATTTTTGAAATCAATGGACATTTTTGATTGTCTTGCTCATAATCCATGTGTGGTTTAATTCTGTCGTAAGAATAATCAATATATTGATTCTTATTGAACGTTGATCTTGATTCATTTGTCACTGAATCTGATTTATCTGATGTTAAATATGTAAGTTTAGCTAGACTGAATAAATCTTTACGACGTCCTAAAAATTGAAATTCTTTACACGCTTCTTCATATAAAATATTTGCAGCCTATAAGAAGACAAAAACAACAAAGTAAAAGATTTTAAGTGTCAATAAGTATAACATACGTGAAATTCGAAAGTAAATACTATTGGCAACTGCTTGATTTAGTATGTTATTATTCGAGTTAAATTTGACAAGTACTGTACACAGATGTTGGAGTAATCTTCATACACTACTGATCGGTGGCATAGTGGTTAGGACGCTCGCCGATCATGCACATGGTCCGGGGTTCGATCGCCGGCCGGCGCAATCCTTTACCTGGCTAAGCCAGAAATAATGCTGGTGAAAAGGAAAGGCTGGGCATGAGGCTAGCAACCCCATCCTGTAAAAATAAACACTGCTACAGAAACTTCAAGACTAGCTTGAAGCCCTATGTTCCACTGGGGAACGTGAAAACATATAAAAAAACTGATCGGGCTCACATATCACGATAATCAAACGAAATGCAATAGGTAGACACAAATATTGTTTGTCAAGATTTAATCATGGTGGAAAGGTTAAAAGTGTAGCTAAGGTGATATTGTGCACAGCTAACACTATGGTAACGGCTTGTGAGTAGAATTGTACGGCTAATGAGAAGGATTCATCAACAGATAGGCGGTTCACTAAGATAGTAGTGAGTTCCACACATTAATCAATCACAGTCGTGAATGGTACAGTGATAGTAACACATAAAACCCAGCACTTACAGAGGGTGAGACAACTGCAAATAGCTGTAAACGGCGGGGCGGGGAGACAGTAGGGCTTGATGGAGTATTCCTACAGATATACAAGGATGTGGAGCAATTTTCCTTAGTTGCCTGCTAATTATTTTACCAGCATCTTTGGTACTTTTGTTTTTTATTTGGACAGAGTGAAGAGTGACTTTCAATAAGTGACGTCCTCTTAAGACATCGTCTTCGGCAGCTTCAATATATATCAGGTATGTCGTTCCAGCGGCTTCTACACTGTTTACCACTTTCTACCATTAGACCTATTGGGAAATAGCGACCACCACCCGTGACGTAGATATGTAGGATGAAGGAATAATTGTGTCGTGTTAGAATCTGTTATTGTGTGGAGTGAAGTGTAAGAGGTTAACCGACTTGTTGACCTTAGACGTTATCAGATAAGACTTAGTACCGATCATAAGAAATGTGATGTTTGACTAAATACATAATAAATTTGATCTCAGTAAATTTCGATGATAGCGCATCTGCAATTCCGAGAAAATCTATTTCTAGTTTGACATTTCAATATGATGCACCCTTTAGTGGTGAAATCAAAGAATTTACTAGCCTCGTAATAAATTCTTGAGTTTCAGAATTGAATACTGCTATTTCAAATAACCGGGTAACTATACAAGTTATCAATTTTACCGATACCCTTTATTGATAAGTAGTGCAATCTGTCCGAAGTATGTATTGAGCACTGATTTCTACTGAACTTATCTTCCAGAGGCATTAGTCAACTACCAATCTTTCCAATGATAAGGCATAAAACACAATGGATCATTCCTTTAAGGTGCAAACAAACACCGGTAAAAATTATACCCTAAAATGATTGAAGAAATATGATTAACTGCTTTTCCGTCTTGCCTTAGTCTTTCTCAAGTAGTTACAGCTGTCACGTTTCTGTAGTCATGGCTTTAACATTTTCTGGAGATGTATAGCTGGCTAGTCCTACGCCCGAATTTCCCTTTTTACCCAAACTTAGAACCGGTTAGTAAACCATTCAGGTAGGTAGTTACCTGGGGTTCTAGTGGGACGTCGTGACCAGTAGGGTGCAGAAGGTCAGGGGTGAGGACAAATACTCGTCGATGACATTGGCTAGTGGTCGCGCTATGTCATGAACTGCCAGAAGTTGGGAATCATGCACTGGCCACCGGAACGGGTCCCAGTGGCTTAAAATGGTCTACGAGCTGGCTCGCCTTGTGACCAGAAGATCCTGGGTTCCAACCCCTGTGGTGGGTACGTACTGCTGAATAGTCCCAAAGTAGGACGGAGTAAACAGCTGTCCGGTACTCCCAGCTGGTTTTCTCTAACTGATGTCATCTCATGATGAAATCCTGTGAGCAATCAATCAATCAATCAATCAAATCCCTACAAACCAATAATTGGAAAACTAGGAAGTGACATGGAGGAGATCATGTGAAGAGGAAATGAGAGCACGTGGGGAATTACGGAGTCAACTTGAAAAGACAGCAGAGAACACAGTGAAATGGAGATACGCTCCTCAATCCTATGTCCCACTAGGAATCCAAAGGATGAATAATAATAATAACAGTTGCAACTGATGGACCACAAATGAAATTTCAACCACCGAGAATTTACAGCGTTTCCTACCTATTAATGAAGAGATTTAATACAAATTGAGGATTACACTTATAAGGAGTATTTCATTGAAATAATTCTGGTCTACATTGATTGGTCACTCGGGAGTGACCAATGTCATGTATCTAGTCCTCGGTGTTGGCGCTAACTTATTTTTTATTTTATTCCTTTGTTTTCTCAGTGAAACATAGAGCTTCAAGCTAGAGCTTTTAAGTTTCAGTAGCAGTGTTGATTTTTTTGCAGGATGGGGTTGCTAGCCTCACGCTCAGCCCTCCCTATTTACCGAGCTTACTACCAGCCGTAAAGGTGTGTCGGCCAATAATCGAATCCTGGAGCACTTGAGTGGTTGGCCGGTGTTTCACCACTGAACCATCGACGCTCACTAAATTCCACCAATTAAGTTTAAAATGTATTCACCAAGTTAGATGCCTCGCAATCGCAATACACCTCGAATTCACGTTAGATTGATGGAAGCAGTCAGTAGGAAACTTTGGATCTAGATTTCGTACCTTTTGTCACTCATGAGTAAGACGTAACTGCAAACTGAAAAGACCTGATGTCCCCTAGAAGATTTGAACCCGCGTCACCCAATGGTACAGTTGAAGATATTAGCGTCGTAAACCCAAGTGGCTTAGTATTAACATCTCTGCGTGCAGCATCGGTTGAATCCCCGAGGGGATATCAGTTCCTTCAAAGTTGCAGTTAAGCCTTGATGACGAGTGACAACAGGTACGAAATCAAGGTCCAGCGATTCCTTCTGATTACTTGTAAACATCTGTTTGAGAAATGAAGGCTCTTCACAATGGCAAATGAGAAAGAAAAATAAGCGAAAAATAAACAAACAGAAATGTTAAAACATGGCCACATACCTTTGTGAATTGTCCAGTTGCCAATAAATGAGGCCAGGCATGATTTTGTACATCTTTACGATGTAGAAATTTTTCAACTGGATCATCGCATTCCATACGCTGATAACTGACATGATCAACTTTCTGTTGTATAGACTGGTTCATTTTACTAGTTACTCCTAGCATGGAATTATTTATACTTGTGTCTACAATTGAATGAGATTTATTCATCAAATCACGGGGTGTATTTTTCATCACTGAAATATTTAATGGTTTCTTATCGCTGATAATTGATGTATTATTGATTACTTGATGTGGAATCATCATGTGACTATTATTGGTACTACTAATATTACTATGATTAAGATTAGTAGTATCATGTACTTGTGTGGCATTCACTGTTTGATTTAATACAGCGTTGGAATGATGTAGTAGAGCAAGAAGCGATTGAACTCGTGAACGTTCACCATTTGACAGGAACCACTGAAATGAGAACAATTTTTATTAAAAAAACAAAAAAACAACTGTTATTAGCACAATAAAAGTTATGAGAACTAGAGAAAAAAAAGATTTCTCACACATAAAGATAATTTAACTGTATAGTTAGTTAGTGGATATGTAGATGTCTTTCATTGAAGTGAGCTTTCCGTCCGCTATTAAAGCTTGTGCTGAAGAAGCACAATAAAAGCTTCTCAGTTAAATCAACTAGCCCAAAGAATACAACTAAATCAAAAAGATTATTGCTATTATTGTTCCCTTGGGTTCCTAGTGGAACATAGGGCTTCAACTGCACGCCTCCACTTGCTTCTGTCTTCTGCTGTACTTTTCACCTGCATCCATGTTAGTCCATACTCTTTCAACTCCTCTTTACACGATCTCCCCGATGTTACCCTTGGACGTCCCACTCGCCGCTTCCCTTTCGGGTTCCACTCAAGGGCTTGTCTAGTGATGTCACTTGATGGTGTGTTTTCTCAAATTATGGCCAATCCATCTCTATTTCTTCCTGCCTATTTGTTTCACAATTGGTTCCTGGTTGGTTCGCTCCCGGAGATCTCTGGGATGGATGCAAAAATAGTAGATAAAGCCTAGTGTTCTTTAACTGCCTCATGTCTAAATGGAAAGTACATTTCAATACGGGATTCACCTACATACACAGCTCAATTTATCATGAGTTCAAATATTATGTAACCTGGAGTTTAGTTACAATCATTGTCCGAGTGTAATCAGTTACATTGTTGAACAGATATGCATTAAAAATAATTGCAGTTAGATATTCATTCCATTTCATTGCTAACCAACATCTACATGTCACATAATAATCAAAGACGTCAACAAGGTATCCCCGTTACACAGTTGGCCAATAATTTCAGTCCAGTAAAGCTGACAAAGAGAAATTCACTAATTTCAACAGAACAACAAATGAACAATAGTTAAACAATTTTACGGATGCTGATATATTGTCAGGAATTAAAGCCACTTGTTTGGTGTCGGATAGAATCAAGGATGCCCTGTATATACCGAATAAGGCTGATCAATCCCGATGAGATATATATAAGTGAGAAATCACGGTCAATTTTAATCATACCCATTAACCAATAGGTAGCTGTCGTAGGCCAGTGGTTAACAGTTTGGTGTTGAAAGCGATGGATACAGGCTTCAAGTCAACATAAGAATTTTATCACTTAGATCCAGATGACGAGTCCAAAACAGGACGAGATGTGCATTCTGGATCCTATTACTAAGCACTAACGAACACATATACGGGTCAGAAAAACTTGGTGTGTCACGAAAAGGATTTCCAACAGACTGTTGCAGACTTTCATCAACAGCTGCCTTCGTGGCTCCATACTGAAGACCAAATGGCCAGCTGGCGAGAAAGAATAAGCAACAAGAAACTCTGGCTGAGAACAAACGAACCAAGAGCCAATTGCTCAACAAATATGTAGGAGAAAGTGGAGATGGATCGGGCATACATTGAGGAGGCCACCGAATGATATCACACACCAGGCCATAGCTCATAGCTCGAGTGGAACCTGAATGGGAAACGACAAGTGGGTCGTCCTAGGGTGACACGGAGGAGATTGTGTGAAGAATAGATGAGAGAGTTTGGTCAATCGTGGACCTAGCTGAAGAGGACGGCAGGAAACAGAAGAAAGTGGAGATGTGTTGTTGAAGCCCTATGTTCTACTCGGAACGCAAGGGAATAATAAACCAACACAACTTCAGTTTAATACAATCAACAAAAAATAATGTGATCATATAACAAAAATACATTAATTTTTTGTACAAGTAAACATCTTTAGTGTGCTTCGGAGCAGTTATTACTACTACTACTAAAGTTTACCAGAATAGGTGAAAATAGTATGCTATAAGTGAATAAAACCATCGTGAATTAGTTAGGTGCAACAAATATATAGAGGGAAAAATTCAAATTTTACTAAAATTGCTAGAAAATACTCCAAAATATAGTGTCAGTAGTTAACTAACTGACAAAAAAGGATACGTGTAACAGTGGAAGACGAAAGACTTGGTCGGGGAATGTTTATTTAAAATTTGTTAGCGAAATTATGTGTGCGTTATACGTTAGCACTATTTGTACAGATCTTGCGTGTTGTGTTGTGCTACGCCTGGCCTTCATATTGTGGTTCTTTCACATCTCCTATGTATCTCCACAACGCTATATCATTTGCTTTCTCTAACATCAAATCTATCTCTCTGACATCTAATGCTTTTATGCCGACGGACATCACTTCATATACTACTCACAAATCTTAACAGTATGCACCCGCCGCCAGGGTTCGAGCCCAGGACCTTCTGAATTACAAGGCGAGCTCGTAGACCATTACGTCACTGGGACCCAATCCAATGGCCAGTCCACGAATTCTAACTTCTGCCAATTCATGAAATAGCGCGACCCTACAAAACGGATACTTGAAAAACTGATCTGATGCTTACTAGCAACTGGCCCTTTTCAGGCAGTGACCTGGGGTTATAGTGGGAGGCTGTGACCAGTAGGGTAAAGTAGGTTCAAGGTGAGGCAGTAACTCATCGAAGAAGACATTTCGAAGTGGTCGCACTATGTCACGAATTGGCAGGAGTGAGAATTCATAGGCTGACAAAGCAGTTGCCCAGTACTCCCAGCTGGTTTTCGAATGATTCTCTAACTGATATCAGCTGGTGGTGAAATCTTTCAATCAATCTAACGAAATCCCTACAAAACCAACACTAGTTTTATTCTCAAAAAAACGTGTAAAAACAAGAAAGGATAGGGAAAATGATTTAAACAGATGAATTTAATGAAAACAGCTGCTTACCTGAAGAGCATAATCTGGAAGTTTCCATTCAGGAGGGACACGTTTTAAGACAGCCGCTAAACGATGATGATGATAACGATTACGTTGATCAATTTCATTTCCTAAAGCTATAGTAGTCAATTCATCACCGGCAGCACCAGCTCCTAAACTGTATTGTTCATCTTGTACTTCTAAAAGGTAACACCAACGCATTATCTGATCTAAATCGACAAATTGTTCAGCTAAGTCAAGTGCTGATTCAGGTCGATGAAGCTGATCACCTGTAGTACATAAAGGGAGTTACAAAAAAGAACCAGTTTTAAGATTTTTATAAAAACTAACAGGGGAAATCTTTTCACTAACAATGAAAATGTATAACAACACTATCTTTCATATGACTAATTATGGATCTCTAAGTATTCAGTACATGATTGATTATAATAATAACAGTTTTATTCTGTGCAATACAGAGTGTTTACATCTGCTTCTCGTATAGGATCTTCAAGTAACAATCTGAAATAATAGAGAAGATTTGTAGCTCAGGTGGATGATTTGCAATTAATAGTGTTCTATGAGCTGGTTGGTTTAATTGCGGAGCCTCCATCCTCCTTCTCGACAACATCTCCCTTCAGCGCATTTTTTAGCCTAAAGTGAACTGATTTAAATTGTTTCCATGAGTGATAGAATTGCGTCTCCCAGTAACCATCTTTACATATGTATTGATCATTTTCTATTGACTTGGATTTTAAACTTTCTCGTCACATGATTTAGTTTTTATTAGTTGGTAAATTTTGTCCATATTAACATGTTTGTTAATCGCTGATTCACTTGAGTACCAGGCTTCTACGAATTCCCTGACTGCACTTTTGGTGTTTCCTCTGTCTAAGATTTTGACACCATCCCAATCAAATTGATGTCCATAATTGTATATATGCATAGATATGAAAGAATATATATTGTGTCTTTTCACGGATGATTGGCGTTCCTGGATCTTGATTCTAAGGGGACACCCACTCTGGCCGATGTATTGCCTGTTACAGTTCATACAATTTATTTTGTAAATGGTATTTATTTTATCATCTTTTTCTGTTGGATCTTTCGGTTTGCATAATATCGAATTAAGCGATTTGACTAGCTTGTGTACTATATCTATATCAAACGGTTTCAGTATTCTAGCTGTTATTTCAGAGATATTTTTCATGTATGGTAGGATGAATCTTCTTGTGGTCTTTGATGATGGTTCCTTATTGGTGTTGTGATTCGATTTTAATCACTTTTTGGTGAAATTGTGTGGATATCCATTCTTTTAGAAGACAGCTAGCAGGTATTTTTCTTCCATTCTTTTCAACTCTGCAGTGCTTCAGTATGATATTAGGTGGTTGGAGGCAATCAGCAGGAAGCCTTGGACCTAGGTTTCGTGCTAGTTGGCACTCGTTAGATGGTAAACATAAAGTCCAATTAATTAAGTTTTAAGCATTACGTCCTGTAGAAATTTAGGTAGCCCAATGATTTGGAGAAGCAACCAGTATACTACTGTAACAACAGAAGACAAGGGCCAGGCAACAGATCAGTTTTATTACGAAAACCAACAGGTATTTATGTGTATTTTACGTACATTAATAAGGCTCTGCCCGCAGAAAGAAGGCGGTCTTCTGATTGGTTGTTTGCAAACAAACGCAGTCTTCTGCTTTCTCGTTTTCGATATTTCTCGGAAATGCGAGCCACTTATCTGCGAATCATATTTGTCCACGTCTAGGTCAGCTGTGATCGGTCGTTGAATCAGCCTAGATTAATTTCCACCAATCAGCGTAGACCAATGTCTACCAATTGGCTAGCAGCTTGCTCTCACCAAACTCGTCCCCCCGTCAAATAGCTTGGACTGAATTCGGCTCGGTCTTCTCGGTTCTTGGAGCTTTGCTCTGTTGTCTTGCTGTCTGGAATCTCGGCGCTTGCGGATGTCCACTTGTTTAACGGTGTTTACCATTGCGATTGTGTCTGCGTAACCCCATCTCAACGTGACCATATGTGGTCCTTCCCACTTTGGAAACTATTTGCCTGACCCTGTCGCACATTCGTAGGTATTTCGCCTCACACTTCCATATGCTGCTTTCTCCCGACCTCCCAGCAGCGTCCCAAGTAGCAGCCTCATCGCTGACAGATCTTGAACGCCACTCGACTGCGAAGAAGCCTCGAAGTCCTGCCCGAAGATCCATGTGTCTCCATCAAAAACTGCAGGGCATAGGCTTTCCATTTGTCGGTAGGCAGCGACACCAAATGTAACAACAGAAGACAAGGGCCAGGCAACAGATCAGTTTTATTACGAAAACCAACAGGTATTTATGTGTATTTTACGTACATTAATAAGGCTCTGCCCGCAGAAAGAAGGCGGTCTTCTGATTGGTTGTTTGCAAACAAACGCAGTCTTCTGCTTTCTCGTTTTCGATATTTCTCGGAAATGCGAGCCACTTATCTGCGAATCATATTTGTCCACGTCTAGGTCAGCTGTGATCGGTCGTTGAATCAGCCTAGATTAATTTCCACCAATCAGCGTAGACCAATGTCTACCAATTGGCTAGCAGCTTGCTCTCACCACACTACTGCGTCAGCATTTATATGTTGAACTTCCAAGGTTCAGCATAACTGGTATAACATGAACTCGTATAAATGAATACTCTGCATCTAATGGATTTCCTTGGCAATGTATAACACATAATACACACATATATTACACTTCGTCGAAATTGAGTGTAATAATTGGGTCTTTAACAATATTGAGACTAGTTTTGCTTGAAAGGTGGTAAGCTTTCAGTGGAATCAAGGATGTGTGTATTGCGTTCTGTTTTTGGAGCTCGTTAGCTAGATGTACTTGAATCCCAAGTGAGTGATGGTGTTTTCACTCAGACTTTTTCGGGAATACTACTGTTGTGAGAGCTGTCTACTAGCCAATTTGGTAGACAGTAATTTACGTTCCCAAGATTTGTCGTGAGAAACAACCAATCGGAAGACTGTGTCTGTTTGTTTACATATCCATAGTAATGTACATGAAAACATATATAAATATGCGTTGATTTCCTTAAAAAATGATCTGTTGCCTGACTCTTGCCTTCTGTCGTTACACTACTACTACTACATTGCCTTGCCGCAAGAACCATCTAAGTGGTTATTCGTCGTTGGAGTCATTTTCCAATTCTTCGTTGTTTGATTATATTGGACCGAAATATATACAGTTTCTGTTGACATTTCGGCTGCTTCTAGAGTAACGCCAGAAGTCAAAGGGTTTTGCCAGTAAAATTGTTCATTTTGATATAAAGATGCGCAGTGGTGGCAAAAAGCATAAAAACAGTGCATTGAACTTTTACAATTGTTGTGCCAAAGTTATTCGTATTCTTCCCCTTTTACCTTCTCTATTTTTACCTAATTAGCTACATTTCTCCTGTTCTCCAATAGCATCCATCGCTTCATTTTTCAAGATTTTACCAAAGCACTTCACAATATACTACTTAGGAATCCTTTTCAGTAGCCACACACTAGTTCTTCAGAAAAATGATGCTAGTTTAATGATTAAAGAATAAATCTAGCTAGAACTGGAGTTACCCTTTGATAACAGTAAAGCATTGAACAACAACAAGCAAATGCATAACACACCACTGAGTTACAGTAGTCATTATTATATGAATCCAATCCGTTCACTCAGGGAATACAACAACAGTCTTAATGATGAAATGAAAGATAGTCTTACCATTCTATTAACAAATTTTACTGCAGTAGGAAACCTAAAATTAAGTCTTTCTTGATCTATCTCAAAAATTAAGAAATAAAATTTCAAGTATGATCACGAAATGACCTCAGTCTGAGTAAGTATCATTTGAAATCAGGGTAGACTGGACAGCTGTTTCATCCAAGTCTGCAACTCTTCAATCGTACACATCAATGACCCCCCCCTCCGGGGTCGTATCTAGAACCTAATGCTCACTAGTGACTGATTACAGAATAAATTATCTTGAATTCTTAGTGGTTGGTTGAGCTACAAATCACAAACTGGTAGAAGTTAGAACAGTCAAGGGGCTCGTCTTCTAACACGAAGGTCACAGATAGATGCATACTGATGAAGAGCCTCAAACTAGGACGAAAGTGGTCTTCAGTGATTCTGAAAGTGAATTTATTTAATGATCGAACTTGATATCTGTCAAATTTCTTCAAACCAAACACTTGAGAGAAAAATGTCCGTAATTAAGATGGAAAATGATGACAATTTGAATTTCAAAGACAAATAGGCTTAAAATGTGAGTCCTCAATAATAAGTGTTCATAGGTAAAGGTATCAAGAACTCAGAAGTTAAAAAATAATAATAATCTATTTGACTTTATTACTCTGAAATAACTTCCGTACGTACGCAAATGAACAGAGAAAACGTTGTAACTTACCGACAATTGAAATAAGATATTCTCTTAAACTTGCATACCAATGTTTCAATCGTCTAAGTCGTTGTATTGCTTGTATACGATTTTTAATGTCTGTTTGATTATTTTGTTGTTCAGCATGATGACTATCCAGTAAATTGTCTTCTTTATTTGAATATAATGCCCAAGATGAGTTGACTGTAGCCCAGATGACACGTTGTTTTGCAATGCATAATATACTACGTATTAAATCAATTGCATATTTAGTGCAATCATTAGTCAGCTGGTGATAACTAGTTGTTTCATCATTCGACATATGATGATGTTGATGATGATCAGTTTCACTCTCCATTATTGATTTATTCGATCCAACTTTAACAAGATGATTTAACTGGAAGATAAAAAACACAAAACTCAAAGGAATAAAATAATAATCAATAACTAAGTGGAACATAAAAGACTTTAAGCTGGAGTTTTGAAGTCTCAGTAGGAGGGGTGTTTTTTTACGGGGAGGAGTTGTTGCTCTCACACCCAACCTTCCCTCTTTGTTGGGTTAGGGGAGGTAAACGTGTGCGCCGAGATTTCCGACGAAATCTCAGCACGAATACAGAGGGCTAGTTTCGCATATGCCAGTTTACGCCGTCTCTGGCGTAGACGTGATATCCATCAGGCTATCGACCAAAGGGCGTGTGTACTGCTCATCAGTCCGCTCCGTCCTCCTTTACGGCTGTGAGACCTGGTCATTGAGAGCGGAAGACATGAAAAGATTAGCTGTCTTCGATCATAGGTGTCTGCGTTCTATCTCCCGTGTGAAGTGGTATAATAAGGTGAACAATATTGAGGTTAGGCGTCGAGTGCTAGGTAAGGTGGGGAAATCAACAGACGAGGCTGTGAAATTACATCGACTGAGATGGTTAGGACATGTGTTACGTATGCCTAGTCATCGCCTTCCTCGACCAATGGGCAATGTTAGCTGATATAGGGTCAGGCTGGAAAAGAGATAGAGGTGGTCAGACGAAAACATGGTTTAACCAGTCAATGAAATCTACAACAGTTAGTCTAAGCCACGTAGGAAGGTGTAGACTACCTAACTGGTTGGGGTCCTCGGGACGGTAAAATCCAATAGTTGGAAACAATTGGTGACATGGCTCAAAATCGTTCTCAATGGCTGGCTGGCGCAGATGCATCCACTCCTTGTGACTTATGATTTCCAATGAAACTGTTTTGTTCTCCGTTATTACTATTCCTTTGTCTCACACCTCTGTTTACTGTCTATATTATGCCTTTCTTCTACTTTCTTCTCTTGCTTTGTGTGCTACATGGAGGGAGGGTGGCGACTTGAACTGGCGCACATATGTGCAAAGTTCTATGTCGAAAACCGACCGACCGAAGGCACTCAGCAGCGAACGATGCGTCTCAGACAAATCAATATCTGCTTAAACTTGCAGATACGCCATATTAATGTGTGCCAATAAGCACAAAACCGAGGTTTACGACTTCCTGATTATGGTCTGAAACCACCTACAATGTTTGTCTTCATTGAATTTGAGCTCTCAAGATATAAATAAATTAAATCAACTTTATAAAGCGGATTTCTACTGTTCACATAAATCGTAACTACTCTACCCGAAAATGTGGCTATATGAGAGTATGAAAGGCATACATTTATTGTTGTTTCATTCTCGTAAATGTATGGGCAATTGTTTTCATTTTATCTGAAGGATGCAAAGATTATTGATGTGAATTGAGCTTCAAAATGACTGTTCTCATGTCAGCATGAATGCAAAAGGCTCGCTCATATGGTATTTCCTGAATAGCGTCATCGCTGGTGTAGACGTGATGCCCAGTTATCGATCAAAGGACACATGAACTGATCAGCAGTTCACTCTGTCCACCATTATGGCTGTGAGACTTGGCCACTGAAAGTGGAAATATACGAAAAGACACGCCATCTTCGACCATAGTTGTTGTTTATGTTCCATCTCATGTGTTAAGTGATGTAATATAATGAGCGATACTGAAGTTAAGCGTAGTCTTAGGTAGGGAAGGTAAGTCAATCGATGAACCTGTCAAGGTCAATAAATTGAGATGCCTAGAATATGACCAGCCATTCTCTTTTTCAGTGAGCAATGATAGCCAACATTGGATTAAGTTGAAAAAGAGTTAGAGATGGTAAGATAAAAACTTAGGGAGATGTAGGCTGACTGCTTGGGGTCCTCGGAATGCTAAGAACCAATGGCTGGAGACTGTTGATGATATGGTTCAAAATCATTCTCAATGGTGCGGATGTATTCACTCTCTCTTTGTTTGTTATCTCCAATATCCACTAAACCATCATTTTTTTCCACGTTACTCTTCTTTCTCCTTAGTCCTTTGGAATCTCTTCTCCTCTTTCTTTTGTCCCCCCTTCGTATGCTGCATGGAATGTAGCAACTTGAACTGCTGCACTTCTGTATTGAAACTTAGTCAGTCAGTCGTAAGTATTCATGATCCTTGCACGGAGCATCATTCTTGGCGAGAGCTGTCTGCTAGCCAGAATTGTAGGCAACAATTTACGTCAATGTTTACGTCCCGAATCGGGGTCATGAGAAAAAAAAGCAAGAACAAAGCTTAACCTTGAGGAACTCACCAAACAGTCACAGCAGACTTAACGTGTGCAAATACGATTCGCTGATATATAGCCTGACTTTCTAAGAAACGGCCATAAAGAGATGATAGAATAACCTTCAGCAAGAAAACAACCAATCAGAAGACGTTGCTTCTCTGCTAATAATAACGCTAATAATACTGTACATAAAAATCTATAAATATCTGTTGATTTTCCCAATAAACGATCTGTTGCCTGGCCCTTGTCTTCTGTTGTTACAATTCTATCAATCAAAAGTCGTAGACACTTGCCTAAGTTCTTCATTAGGTATTTTACCTAACTGAAATGAGGTTTATTTCATAAAGCATAAAAAGAGGAAAGTTGTAAACCTTACACTGTTCAACTGAAAATTTCACCTTTACAAAGTATCAATACATTTTACCAAGCAATGGAGTAATGATATTAATAATAATAATAATAAGGAAATGAAACTAACCAATTTTAACAAAACATTTCCAAGACCATATGGTTCTTCATCTGTAAGCCAACACGGTAGGTAATAAACTTTCCGAGATGATTCATCCATTCGATTGCATGATTCTAAAGTTTTAAGTAAACTTGATAGACGAGTTTCACGATACTGTACAATTTCAGCTACACCAGCCTAATAAGAAGTGAGATATACATATATATGTAGAGAGAGTGAATATTTTATATTGATCATTCAATATGGAAACAAATAGAGATGTGAGTGGATGTAACTAAAACACTCTCTCCTTTATTAACTATAATTTGAAATTTTGATAAGGCAATAACATATTCTACTAATCACAGTTCAGTAGATACTTTCCACTAAAAGTGGATCAACGTTTTCCATCGGTACTCAACTTGCCACAGTTTGGACGGCTAATTAGTATTACTAGTTTTCAATAGTAATAACAGTAGTTTATTGTCAGTTACGTTGGTACTGCTTATAATCCGATATAAGTAGTATATCAGAAACGAAGTAACAATATGTTTGGCACACTGGAAAGAGCAATCAAAGAAGAGAACCATGAGAAGAATGTTGCCATATGATGCAGAATCCAAGAAGCTATCGAATGAGACGATATTCGACCAATTCGTCAAGGATGTGGTAAATGATGTGCAAATGGCTGGTTGAGAATATGGTATACTAAATTTAGCTATGTACCATACGTTTCCCCAAATATACATTCCTTTCAGCCTCCTCACTCTTCTCTTCTTTACACTATCTGTTTGTTGTAAGGTTGCAAGATATGCATGCATTGCTACTTCAGCAATCCAATATCCTTCAATCTGGATCAACAACGCTACTTTAAGTAAATTCCACTCGTTATCTTCCTTAACCTGCAAACACTTGAAAGGAAATTAACACAATCGACTAAGGGATTCTCCAAGAGTTAGTTTGTGGAGATTTGATTCGTTTCAAGTTTGATCATGGATTGGTCACCACCAGGGATCCCCGTCGGGGTTGTGCGTGCGTACCACTGAAGAGTCCCAAACTAGGACGAAAAGGATGTCCACTACTCCCTACGTTCCAATGGTTTTCTAACCCAGTAAGGGATTATTGTATATTAAATGTAAGAAAAAAGTGGGTACATAAGTTATAACAGAACAATTTCGTCACACTTTCGTTTTAATATCCTTGATTAGGGAAAACAGAGGCGGTCAACTACGATTCGAGTTTCCTGAGGGTAGTTGATCTGATAAGATTTTGTATTACTTATTTAGGGGAATGCTGTTATCACATCAGATGATACATTTGACAATTTTAAACGTGTTTTATCACCTTTTTTATACAGCTGGAATATCTATTATGGCGTTTGTTAGTTAGATTATGCGCGAAAACACCTCATGACTAGCTTTTACCCTCACCTCCAAAAATCATAAATTCAGTTCTAAAGCTTGACAACTGTTTATCCTGTTGTCCACATCTAACCTATATAAACATTAATCGATGTTTCTACTGGATACAATGACTGACAACCTGATGATATGAGGTTTTGTTGTAAAGTGTGTATACGTACTGCGATTTAAGCTTTGATGACGTGAAAAGAGAGTAGTTGTGGAGGACAGGCACACAGGTGAACTTCAAGTGGTCAATCAGAGTTCGCGGAAGTAATAATGCAGTTATAATCGGTAAAGCAAGTTTAATATTAGCAACCAATGGGCTTCAGAATACACTGAAATCCGGAAAATATCATTTAAACGCAATCCTATTCTCATATCCCTAGCTCGTAATTCTAGCGCCCCATCCTAAATGATAGCTATCTGAATAAATACCGATACTCCTATGAGAAAACAGAAGTTATTCTTGCAGAATTTTACAGAAAGCTAGGCTGTTCAATATGCTCACATTTCCTGAAAGAATTTCTTTCGTGTTTACCCCCCCCCCACACACACATTAACTTGATTTACTCTGATTGACCGGTTGAAGGTTATTCGATTGGACAACTACACTTTAACTTTTATATTATTGATATGATTCAAAAAAAATTTCCCTCCTATAAACAGCATAAATTAAACCTCGTAAAGCTTAAAATTAACATTCAGTTAGATGAACAGAGATCTATACATTACAAATTGTGACGTTATATTATTGTTCCCTTGGGTTCCGAATGAAATATAGGGCTTCACTTGCACGTCTCCATTTCAATCTGCAGCTCCCCGATTGCTCATAGACTTTACTTCCTCCTCACTCAACCACTTCCGTGTCACTCTTTGGCCAACGTACAACTCATCATTTCTCATTCGGGTTCCACTAGAGTGTGCGGTGCGTAATGTCACTCAACTGTCTTCTAAGAGTTATGTTGAATCCATCTCCCTTTCCTTCGGTATACTTGTGGGCAACAGGTCCTTGATTGGTTCGTTGACAGAGTTGTTTGTTGTGTTAATCCTTTCTGACTGGCCATCTGATCTTCAGAATCAAGTCAGCAAAGACAACTGTCGATGAAAGTCTTACCGTAGTCTGTTGGAGATACTTTCCATGACGCGCACATCAAGTCTCTGGAACTATGTAGAATTATTGAAGAAAATAAAAGACAGATTCAGCGAAGAAAATTTTCTTTATCGACGAAATCATCTTCAGAGGCTGCTGTACAGTCGTATTTATACTTACAAAAATATATAGTGGTCTATTATTAAGTAATAGGGGGTGACATAATTGATATAATTACTCAGAAGTGGCTTTAGAAGTGAAAATTAAAAGTTGTAAATTACGTGGTACTCAACGGAACAAAGATAGAAATTTGACAAGGTTAAAATTGCTATTGAGTCAGAATAAAGGTATTTGAGTGTCAATTTAACAAGTGTGAAGAGGGTGTGTTACTAGCTCAATTCTCGAGCATTTGGTGAACTCAGGCCACGTAGCTCCACCGGAGTCGTCTTTCAAGATCATCTACAAAGTGAAGCCAAATGGTACAAAGGGTGTCAGGTTTCGGCTTTTGTGTATGGCGGAGGCGCTGGCAATTCATCAATACAACCCTGAACTCTGTATGCAGAAAAAGTTTGTCTTGGTCTTAACCTTCTCACTAATCGTTCCCTGTAAAAAAATTTTGACTTTTTTCTTTTCTTTTTTGTAATTTTCAATCTTACTTTTAGTTTGCTTTTGCTTTAATAATTAATTCACTATTATCACTCTCATATGCTCCTTTTGTATATTTTCACACCCTCTTCACACTTGTTAAATTGACACTCAAATACCTTTATTCTGACTCAATAGCAATTTTAACCTTATCAAATTTCTATCTTTGTTCCGTTGAGTACCACGTAATTTACAACTTTTAATTTTCACTTCTAAAGCCACTTCTGAGTAATTATATCAATTATGTCACCCCCTATTACTTAATAATAGACCACTATATATTTTTGTAAGTATAAATACGACTGTACAGCAGCCTCTGAAGATGATTTCGTCGATAAAGAAAATTTTCTTCGCTGAATCTGTCTTTTATTTTCTTCATGACTCAATGGGTATTTTCGGTGATTAGAATTATTGACTTGACATTGGGTGTTGAAAATCCAGATTTTATTCCTTTACGCTGAGTTCAGTAGATTCCCACACTATATTATATAATATATATATATATATGAAATTATTCAATCGATAACCACAGAAAAAAAAATGTTAAAAATCCAAAATTTCAATTAAACTCACTTCAATTAAACGTGATACATGAATGAGAAATTCTACACTGCTTCTGTTTATTACAGTATCTGATCTGACCTTGCCTTCAGAGGATGTAGCATTCATAGACATTTGATTGTCAATTGTTTCACAGAAAGTTTTTATTAATTCAGGGATTAAAGTGACTGTTTGTAGGACAATATCTTGTGATTTAATAACCTGTAAGTGATTCAATGTAAATCCTGCATTCATAGCAACTTCATTGAATACTGACTGATATAAAGATTGTGGCTCTCTAAAAAAAAGAAATCAGGACAAATTAAATGGGAATCAGTGTATAAGTGGAAATAACAAATGAAATGTATGCCTGACATTTAGGCAATGTAGTACGTTAGATCTGAGATAATTTTTTTCATTGAATTTGCCTTCTGGGTGGGGAACATTGGGTTTCAAGCCTGGGCTTTGAAGTTTCACTAGTGGTCGTGTATTTTTTATGGGAGGGGGGGGGGGTGGATTTGCTGGCCTCACGCCCAATCTTCCCTCTTTATCGGGCTTTTTACTGACCAAGCGAGGTTTAGTATTCTGTCGGCTAGGAATCGAACCCATACTACCTAAGTGGTTGGCGAGCATTGGAGTACTGAAACACCATGGCACAAATATGAGAATGAGGACTTTTTAATATGGAATATAATTTTTATAAAGTTTTTAATCCAAAATTGGTCGGTCGGTTTTCAACATAGAACTTTGCACTGATGTGCGGCAGTTCAAGTCGCCACACTCCCTCCATGTAGCACACAAAGTAAGAGAAGAAAGTAGGAGAAATGCATAATAATATAGACAGTAAACAGAGGTGTGAGACAAAGGAATAGTAATAACGAAGAACAAAACAGTTTCATCGGAAATCCTGAGTCACAAGGAGTGGATGCATCTGCGCCATTGAGAACGACGAGTTTGAGCCATGTCACCAATTGTTTTCAACCATTGGTTTTACCGTCCCGAGGACCCCAACCAGTCAGGAAGTCTACACCTTCCTACGTGGCTTAGACTAACTGTTGTAGATTTCATTGACTGGTACCATGTTTTCGTTTGACCGCCGCTAGCTCTTTTCCAGTCTGGCCCTATATCAGCTAACATTGCCCATCGGTCGAGGAAGGCGATGACTAGGCATACGTAACACATGTCCCAACCATCTCAGTCGATGTAATTTCACAGTCTCGTCGACTGATTTCCCCTCCTTACCTAGCACTCGACGCCTAACCTCAATGTTACTCACCTTATCATACCACTTCACGCGGGAGATAGAACGTTGACACCTATGATCAAAGACAGCTAATCTTTTCATCCAAAATTGGTCTATGGAATGATCAAGCTTTTATGTCGCTAAACTAGATAGTATAGTTAGAAGAGGAGGAAATTTATCCCTCAAGGGGGGATGTTTTAAATGTTCTTGTGTTCTCTGGATTAGCTGGTTTTATTGCGAAGACAGTCATTGTCCTTCTGAACAAGAACTTCAGAGCTAACTTTAACTAAACTATGCAGAGCTCAGAGCATCATTCACCAACACCAAAAAAATAGTCAGCAGTCTGAATGGGAAATATCATCAAACCATACTGTTACTAGTATACTGATGCGTCTGCAACACAACCCACCCTCACAAAATTCACTTTTACCTACTGTGGAACTGTTGACCACTTTAGCATAATAAAGATGACATTGAGTCGAAAAAGCATATAATTTCCATATGTGTAAATGTCAGTTACTGTTCCCCTGGTTTAAATGTTACATCTGTTTGGGACTAAGTTCAAGGTTTCATGTAGATTGTACGCTAGTCGTCCTATATAGTAGGTTGTCGAGTGACTAGACTGTGAAATTCATCCAACTGAATTCGACAGCAACAAGTAAGAAATCTGATCATCACATCACTTGTTATTATTATTCCCTTGGGATTCGAATAAAACATGGAGCTTCAGTAACACATTTTCACTTTACTCTGTTCCCTGCGGCGTTTTTCAGTTGGTTTCACGATTGTCCGTAAGTCTTCATTTTCTCTCCTTACACGATCTTCTCCATATCACCTTCGGACCAACGTCCAACTGGTTGTTTCCCACTAGAGTGCCACTCGAGTCATGACCTAGTGAGTGATGTTACTCAGCGGCTTTCTCAGTAGTTTATGTCCAATCCATCTCTATTTCATCCTGCGTCGCAGCAGTCAACGTCTCATTATTAGTGCTACATGAAGTCAGCGGGGATTCGGGTTAAATTTCCCAAGGTTGTATATAAATCATAATGAGGAATAAAAAGTGTTAAATGCAGATGTTTAGGTCTTTCAAACGACCTACTAAAGCACTTAACATCAATATTACAGTTTATTCTGTGCTCTATCGGTTTGAGAGAAGGTAGGCAATAAGATGAACATAACTGATTTGATAACACAATTAAATATTCTATACATCTAACCATTGTATCGGTCGAATCCTTAGTATAAAATGTCGAATTTCAGCTCTATGGGTACATGCACTTTATCTTTGACAAACACTGACTCGAGAGCACCAGTTTTCTCGATATGCAAGACAGAACTTGATGACAAGTGCTAGTGATGAGTAGCCGAGCTGGCTCACTGGTCTAGACACTTGACCTCCGAATAGTGAGCGACAGGTTCGAACCCCGCTCCACGCATCGAGGTTTGAACAACCCCGGGTTGTATAACCATCTCTTACGCAATAGATCTGGCTCATTGTCAGCTGAATGGAATTGTAAATGACTGTTCAGTAACACTGGTTGATTGACTGATCGGATAGGCACGAAACCTTGGTAAATACATCATAAAATTGATTATAATTATTATTCTGTCGTTGCAATTAGAAGAAAATCCCTCATAAAATAGACACTTACTTAGCTAATTTATTTTGTAAAGCTTTACCGAATTCAATTAATTCTCCAGCAATATGTAATCCGCATAAAATATGCGTTTCAGCCCAATTGACACTGTTATCCATTGGACAGTCATCAGCAGCTTTAATGATACTTTCAAAATCTAATGAATTCAATAAACGACCAGCACAATCTTCAACTAATTGGTCATATTCAGGTGAACAACATGCATATCTTGAATTTGGAAATGTATTCATAACTGCTGACCCATCATCACCATCATTGCCTTCATCAACGACATCAACATCATTATCTGCGCTTTCATTATCACCGTCACTATGCCGACGACGACGAGAACGAAGACGACGGTGATTTGATGATTCAATATTTGTAGTAAATGAATGTTCATTCATAAGACTACGTAATTCATGATACAATTTATTCTTACTTTTATTATTATTTGTTGGGGTTTTTCTCCTGTTTAAACGATTCCCATCACTATTAGTAGTAGTAGTTGTCTCAGTATCATCATCGTTGACAGATGTTGTAGATAATAAAATATTTAAATATTTCGGTACATCAATTAGTTTTACTGTTGTTACAAAGTTTGTATTAAGATAACGCGTTGACTGTTCACAGCATATATTATATAATAATAACCATAATTCTTGTAAATTATGCAATGCATCTAATCGTGCGCATAAACGTGATATCGGCAGTAATAATAAAGTAGTATCTGTACTTCCTCCTGCTCCTCCTTCTATATGACTATTATTATTACTGTTATGTAAAGCAGATACAATATACTGAAAACTAGAAGAACCTTCTAATTCAAGATAATGTAGATTAGATATAGGCAATGAATCAATAATTGTTGATAATTGTGTATGTAACCATTGCCAACGAGCATCCGATGCTATTGGATGTTCATTGAGAATACGTTTGGCTAAACGAAAATACACTAAGGATAAATGACTACTAGCAGATATATCATGAAGAATACATTTCAAATAACTTATTGTTTGTTCCTATGGAAATTTTGTGGAAAAAATAAAAAGTAAAGAAAACATGAAATGATATCAGTATTTGATAAGTCGAAGCTTTGAATTATAATGAAACTAGAGATAATAAAATTATTGATGAGTAAAACTCGTCTGTTTACACTTTTATTCAATTAGTGAGGAGATGAAAGTGGCTGATGAACACAAAAAGAAAACTGTAGAAGTTAAACTATAACAGCCCTAAACGAACCACAGTAAAACACACCAGTAGCCTTGAACCGAAGAATTGCATTAAAACAAAAGCGAAATTAGTTGGAGGATTTCATCATGAGCTGACATCGGTTAGAGAACCATTGTAAAACCTGAAGGGAGTGCTGGACAGCTGTTTCCTCCGTCCTAGTTTGTGAATCTTCAGCACTACGTACCCACCGGGGTTCCAACCCAGGACCTACTGAATTACAATGCGAGCACGTAGACCATCAAGCCACTGCGACCCGACCCAATGGCAGTAACCAGTAGGGTACAGCAGGTTGAAGGTGTGGCAGTAACTCACCGAAGAAGACATTTTGAAGTGGTCGCGCTATGTCATGAATTGACAGAAGTTAGAATCCATGGGATGGCCATTAGATTGGGTCCCAGTGGCTTAATGATCTAGCTCGCCTTGTAACCAAAAGGTCGTGGTTTGGAACCCCGATGGTGGGTGCACACCACTGAAGAGTCACAAACTAGGACGGAGGAGACAGCTGTCCAATACTCCCAGCTGGTTTTTCAATGGTTCTCCAACTGATGTCAGCTCATGATGAAACCCTCCAACCAATCAAACAAAATCCCTACAAAACCAATACTTGAAAAAAGCGAAATTAGTTGTCACCAAAAAAATGTTTAAAAAAGTGAAAAATATCAAGCACGAAACCATTTTGATAGGAAGTGGCTAAAACCAGCTTAATACACTGTTGGGTGAGAACAAATCAGAAGAGACCATTCGGTCGAGGCAGGATTATTATTACAATGAAATTAGACAACCCAGAAACCCAACCTTATGGGACCAGTATGATTGGTTAATTCTAAGCTTAACTTTCTGAGGCAGGTAATATCTCTACTTAACCCTACTTTTGTACATTAAAACCAAATTATTCTCACCAACACAGACCAGTCGGTTTTAAATGTTCATTTTAGTGGGCTGTGGGGTTGGTCAGAAGTAATCGGTGACCAGTATTAGTATCAAACTCGTAATTATCATATCATTACCGACATAGCACATCTTTTAACATGTTGTAAGAATAACTCCAAGGTTGTTTTATAACACTGTCGACATTAATCCAAACGACTACTCTTTGGAGTTAAGATTAGTTTAGGAGAATGGTTAGGTTCAAGTTAGGGTTTAGTGTAAGACGCTTTTCCGGATGAAAACTTCTCCCTACCACTTGAACAGTATTTATTACAAACTCTGGATAACTGTTTAGATGTCACTGGTGCGCTCGTTTGTATTGAGCCCAAGTAGTTTAGCTTTACGAAAATCTACGTACTAATGGAAATATGTAGGCTTTTGGTATTTCTCAGCTGCAAAATGATTTCTTCATAAAGTGATTTAAACAGAAAAAACTTTTCACTTTCAGACGAAAACGTGACCTACAGCAACTAGCTAGTTCACATAACCCCACTATAATTGACGGCATAGAGTATCTTGGACTGAGTGTTTCCTCCGATCTTTCCTGGTCCTCTCACATATTGCTAGTTACTAGAAAGATGTTTCGCTTAACATTCTACGTTAGGAAATTAAGGCAGTCTGGTATAAAATAGTCTTTGCTTTCTCAGTTTGTCAATTCTTGTATTCTAACCATCCCTCTTTACTGCTCCCCATTAATCTTTCCTGGACTACTTAAGAAAGATTTTGCTTTGCTGAGAAGGGCACTAAAAGCTGTTAGTGTGGGAAGTGGGATATCGTTAAACCAACTGGTTAACACTATTGTGGATAGACATATAATGTCATGTAAGAAACTAGCGAATACCATATTGTCAGACCCCGAACATCCTCTCTATGCGCAGCTCTCTCCTTGCATTTCATCTGGTAGTACTAGAGGCAACTATAGGAGGCTATATGCCAGGACTACCAAGTATAAAAACTCCACAATACCTTATCTGGCACAGCTGTTATGTGATGAGAAATCCGTTAGGTATGACACGATCAACTTACTGCGGCACTCTAACAAATAGTTCCCATTAGTTTTTGTTTTCCTTTCTGTGTTACTATTATATTGTTGTTCACATCTTCTATTACACACTAATTTTATATTTCATATTCCTGTGGTGCATTGTTTAAAATGTGAATGCAATGCTGTTCTTTTTTATTTCTTTTTATTTATCTATTGTTTTTACTGTTGTTGCTTTTTGTTTTTAAAATCTTGTAAAATTTATGAGATAATTAGATGCAATATTGTAATGCACGCTGAAAATTCCATACCTGTACCACAAATACTGTTTGGAATAAAATTATTATTATTATTAATGTTGTATGATCAGAGATCTCAGGCAACAACTGCTTGAGGCTGGTAACAGAATTTATGCCTGTACGAAGAATTCACTACCGGCTGTTGACCGACACAGGGCAAATCAAGACGTACAACATTGGAGACCGCCATTTTCTGACTCCCTCTCAATACAGTAAGAAGGTGGTATAGCTGGCTAGCTGATTGTCAGAGGCAAACATCTTACTGCTGCTGGTGTTACGCCCCTTTCCACAAACAGTATCCCTTCACCCTCAAATCTTCAAATAGGGTAAACAAATTACACTATGATGACAACTGCTTTATTGTAACCTCTGCTCCAAGCATGATAAAACCTGGAGGAATATTCATCTCAGCCATTACAGCTAACATCAGTTAAAGATTAGGCAAGAACTAAGAAATTTTATGAAATCAAGAAAAAAAAGATTCCCTTGAAAATAATCCAATCATGAGGTGATAATATTTAACTAAAATGAATGAATCACTTCAAATATGGCTACTCGTGGCTGATTGTTTTATGGCAAAGCTTGAAAATTCTCAACCATCGGTCATTTGGACATTTATAAAAGATACGTAGACGACACTTTCGTTATCTGCGATTGAAATGTAATTCTTGATGATGTCTTGTTTGCTTTCAACAACTGCCATCCTTCTTTACAATTCACCGTAGAAAAGGAGTCCGAACTAAGTATCCCCTTTCTTGATGTGTGCCTTAGCAGACGTAACGACGGATCTCTCAAAAGATCTATCCACCGGAAACGTACATGGAATGGACAACTAACTAACTTTTACAGTTGGGTGCCTATTTCCAGGAAAAGGAACTTGATTCATTCGCTCTGCTCTAGGATAAGGAAAATTTGTAGTTCTGATTCCGTTGACTCGGAACTTGACTTCTTGAAAGCCACCCTCACAGAAAACGGTTACCCTAACCGATTTATTGACAGCAACATGAAAGATAAGCAGTCTAAGCTGGTCACCGACACAGTTCCAAAGAAAACCTTATTCATGAACTTGGAATTCAAAGGTGATCAGGCCTCAGATATGCTCAAAAATCGTCTCTCTAAATCAGTCAGTAAGACGTTCTATGCAGCAAAATTACATATGACGTTCACTAGCCACAAGTTGTTCTCTACCTCTGTAAAAGATAAGCTCCCCCATCTGGCCGCCTTCATGTGCATCTATCAGTTCACCTGCTCTTGTGGAGCAAGGTACATTGGCCGTAGTCAGAGGACGCTTTCCACACGGATACGAGAACATATTCCAGCATGGTTTTACAGGGGAGAAAGGAAGTGTGTGCGAAGCTCTATTCTAGAACACCTGATCGACTTCTGTCACTCTGTTAACCCTGACCATGATTTTAAGATCATTTATAGAATCCATGCTAACTTCCCGTGTTTTCTTCGTTACAGACTTCTAAAGACAGCTGAGGCCTTGGCAATTCATGACTTTAGGCCAGACCTTTGTGTACAAAAGAAGTATGTACAATCCCTACTTCTGCCTTGGCCGTAGAGGGATAGACATTCATTTATTTTGTTTATTTAGTTATTCTATGTACTTTTCCCTTATTACCATGATATTATTATTATCATTATTATTATTACTATTCTCACTCTGAATCTTTTCCACTTGACCCACTTGACATTTTAAACCCAAAATTATTAATTTTTATTTTTACAATATTGAATTCTATCTTATCAAATTTCACACCATGTTATGTAACATTTTATATTCGTCTACTAATCTTATAATTATGTACCCCTTTCCAAAATCTATACACCTTATGTATTATTCTATATACGACATTAATTATTTTGCCACTTGACATTAAACTATGATTATAATCACAAATATTTTAATTGTATTTCATACTATTATTATTTCATTTATTCACACCTTTGACCTAATTCCCTCACCGGATATAATTTTTATAAAAACCATATATATATACGATTGTACAGCTTGATAATAAATTCGTTGAAAAGAGTCTCTTCGCTGAATATTGTGTTCTTAATCCAAAATTGAAAACCAACTACACAAATCTGCAAAACGGGCGGTATATACCTTTAGAAGATTTGCTCAAACCTCAGTGTATGAAGCTAATTTTGAACCTGTAGCTTATCATAATTTCAGACATAAACAAAACTGTAAGCAACAATAAATACCTACTTTAAATCCCATCCAGTATATACGTGCAACTTCGCATAAAGCAACAAATAAACGATCCATAGGAGATAGTTTAATCGGTTTGTCAGGTGATTCACCAGCCAATGATATAATGTAGGTATTAGCTGTGAACATAATGTTAACTTTTAAACGTTTTTCGTCTACTGTATGGACAATAATTGAGAAATCAGGTTCAGAATGTTGCTTTTGAGACAATATTGTAGGACAGCTAGAGAGGAAAGGAGTTGAAAATAAAATAGAGAGTATAATGATAAAAATAAGTTATAAGTTTTAACAGTGGTATAGTTCACTTCTGAAATGAATTATAATATCTACTAATAACATGCCAGAAAATATGCGTTATACAAAATAAGAACAAATAAGCAATTGTTGTAACTTAATTACGAGTATATTAATTCAAGCACTTACACTCTCTAGCACAACAGTAAGGCAGAAGTTAAATGGCAACATAGTGATGCTAAATTAAACGACTTAGTGCAGCCGAGGGTGGATAGACTTTTGTTTTCCTCTCGAAACACTCTCATATGGCCATGTGTCTATAGCCTCTACCAGGTAGGTCCTGTTCACTGCCGTCACTTGGCTGAGTTGTTCCTCTCAAAAGTGAAAGGGTGAGTGGGAATGTCTGGAGCTTACAACCAGACTAGTGGACACGGTGGTAGTCTGCCTAGGTGAGGTCGAAAACCCTGATTCCAAACCTGTGGTGCACATGGGCTGTGGAATCGGAACAGATAGAATCGCGCATGAACCTTTTTTTAGTCACCGGAAATGCAACTCCTGACGCTGCTTCACTGCCTTGTAGATCAGACTTCAAGTCAAAGGCCTCGGGGATGGCCCCTTAGAACAACCACCTACTTTGGTCTGGACGGCTTGGTAGTATCTCAGGTTAGTAGAGATTTCCGCTTTTGGTCAGCTTCGGAGTATATGACAGAAATGAGAAGCTTTCAATTATTGATACGACAATTATGCTTTTATGCATAGCTCAGATCAACAGTGAGAGATTTTAACAAGGTTGCTTCCACATATCTGGCCAACCTGAATTTATTTCAGGTGACATTTTTCTTCACAAAAGACAAAGGAACAAAGTGCAAAATTTATATCTCTACTATGCCAAATAGCAAAAAGAAGTGAGCAAGACTATTCTTACCCATGGTTAGCATTGCCTACTCTGGTTCTACCTTACACAAGTTATACTACAAAGGCATCATCATGTCTCGCACCCCAATGGATGATGATTGAAGCTGAAATGAGAATCTAGGCAAAATGACGGGCTAGTAATTTGAAGACCGATGGAGATCCTAGACGACGAGAACAACAGATCTTACTATTGAAAAGTACTTGAAATACCTTACATTCATTCGTTAGAATACATTTTGCTCTATAATGACTCAGTTTTCAACAAAGAACTTTGCATAGAAGTGCAGTAATTCAAGTTGCCATACTTCATATGAAACACACTAAGGTGGATAAAAATTAAAAGGAACTATAATGGACAGAAATGTACGTGAGGAAGAATAAATATATGTAGAATGATAAGAATTTGATGGATATGGAGGCCAATAAAGAGTGAATGAGTCTGCACCATTAAGAACGACTTTGAAACACACCACTTACAACCTCCTACCATTGCTTCTCTGCATCCAGACGACACCAACCAGGTGTGGTGAGGGCTGGCTGCTAACCAAAATTGGTAAATAGTAATTTACTTCAGTGTGTACGTTCCCAATATTGGTCATGAGAAAAATAAGAACAAAGACTGACTTAACAACCAATCACAGCAGACTTTGCGTAGGCGGATACAATTTGCAGATAGATAATCTGAACTTAAAGAAACGATCACAAAGAGATGGAAGATTAACTTTCAGCGATTAACCACCAATCAGAAGTGTGTTTGCTTGCTTACAATAATCTATAATAATGAACATGAAAATCTATAAATATGTGTTGATTTCCTAAATAAACGATCTGTTGCCTGGCCCTTGTCTTCTGTTGTTACACAGGTAGTCTACACTTCCCAACAGTCAAAGACTTCATAGGTTGGTGCCATGTTTTGATTTTACCATCGCTAGCACCTTGCCAACCAAATATTATGTCAGCTAACATAGCTCAGCGACGAAAGTAGTGGCTCAGCATGTGTAACACGTGTCTTAGTCAATTTCCTCGACATAGCTTCACAACTTCATCGACTGACTTGCCTTTCTTACCTAGCAGTTTATGTCTAACTTCAGTATTACTAATCACATTATGCCAGTTAGCACCCGATGTAGAACGTAAACAGCAATGGCCAACGACAGCTGGTCATTTGAAGTCTTCCACTTTCAATCGATACATGTCACAGCCATAAAAGAAGACAGTAAACTGCTGAGCAGTACATACATTCCTTTTGATGGACAGCAGGATGCTATGTCCACTCCAGCCACTCGAGCCTCTTATATTTGCGCTGAAATTTCGTCAGCAATCAGTTCATTACAGCTGACGTAACTTCCTAAATACGTGAAGTGATCACCCCTTATCTCTAAACTAGTTGATACAGACCAGACATGTAGCTTTGATAGGGAGCAAATCACATGCCAAACACCAATATTTCCATTCAAGAGATACAATATTGTACTATAATACTGAGAATTCCATAATGCATCAAAAATATTGTTTGGAATAAAGCCGTTATTACTATTATTATTAGGACTACTGAACGTGTGATGTCATCTGTACAGAAAAAGTAAATAAAAAGAAATTAGTATATTTAAATATCATGAACACTGAAACCACTTATATTATTATTACTTACCTGACAATACTAGAACGTGATTTATGCATACTTCTATTTAAACTGACTTCTGAACCCACTAAACTAACTTGATCCACATCTATCATTGATAAACCACCACTTGATGATGGAATCGCATCCATCATTTCATTTATATTGCCTGCATTATTATTACCACTATCTATACATGGTGTTAATGTGAGCAGACCACATTGACAAGTTAAAAAGATAAATAAACTATGCATATCTGAACTGCCAATACTAATTAACGATTGTGCACAAGGTGGTTGATTTGGTAAATTTGGTGAAAATTCTAATTTTCCAATTGTCTGTCCAGTTAAAACTACAGAAAAAAGAATATTGAATAAAAAAATAAATTACGTAACAAAATAATTTTCAACAGTTAGTTTGTAGGGATTTAATTTATTTCAAGTTTGGTTGTGGATTGATGTCACAGTCAGAGAACCAGGGAGTACTGAACAGCTGTTTCGTCCCCGTTCGAGACTCTTCAGAAGTACGAACCTATGGCCCAATTGGTGATCGAACCTCTGAATCTCCTGGGCTTGATCTCCTAGTTCAACCACCAACCAATCTCGTAGGAGTGCATTTATCCTCATACTCGATCTGGTGGACCTCAACGCAAATTTTAACAGAAGTTAGAATTCATAGGCCACTGAATTTCTGCTTAAGTGTTTGACCTCGTAACCTGAAGGTTTTAGGATCGATTCTCAGTGGGGTCGTACTGCTGTCTAGTACTCCTTGGTTTTAAATGGTTCTCTAACTAAAGTCAGTTCATAATCAAATTTATAACGAATTACCAAAAAGGAGGAAAAAACTATATCTGATGAGGAATGAAGATATGCTATAAAAAGTAGAGTGACATGACTAAATATCGATTCAGTCAAGGTGCAGATAACTGAAAATGGTAGTTTGAATTTATACACCCAGAAGAGGGATTTTTCATCTATCAGACTATGAGCCATATTTTCTGTGTGTGTGTGGCTGATGATACCCACTACTCGATAAGGTCAGACTGAAGCCTCTGGCTTGAAGCCCTATGTTCCACTGGGAACGTGAAGGAATAAAAAAAATATTGAGGTTAGGCGTCGAGTGCTAGGTAAGGAGGGGAAATCAATAGACGAGACTGTGAAACTACATCGACTGAGATGGTTAGGACATGTGTTACGTATGCCTAGTCATCGCCTTCCTCGACAACGGGCAATGTTAGCCGATATAGGGTCAGGCTGGAAAAGAGCTAGCGGAGATCAAACGAAAACATGGCTCCAGCAGTCAATGAAATCTACAACAGTTAGTCTAGGCCATGTAGGAAGGTGTAGACTTCCTGGTTGGGGTCCTCGGGACGGCAAAAACCAATGGTTGGAAACAATTGGTGACATGGCTCAAACTCATCGTTCTCAATGGTTGGTGTAGATGCATCCACTCCTTGTGACTCATGATTTCCCATGAATCTGTTTTGTTCTTCGTTATTACTATTCCTTTGTCTCACACCCCTGTTTACTGTCTCTAATATGCATTTCTCCTACTTTCTTCTCTTGCTTTGTGTGCTACATGGAGTGTGGCGACTTGAACTGGCGCACATATGTGCAAAGTTCTATGTCGAAAACAGACAGACAGAAGTCAATTCCAGCGGAATTCAAAGACCAAGTGTGAAGGCCAATCAAAGTTGAACCTCTGAACTATATATTTACTGATCAGTGTAATAATAACAACTAAAACCTGAACGACAAATATAGTAATTCCAGAGAAATGTATTAGAAATTTTCAATGAATCAGGGAGTACCATCTCATATTTCCAATAACCATTTGATGAGTATATACAAACGAAATTGCTTAGTTTTATGTAGAAAATAATCATAATAATAGAAAGATATCTCGTATGCGGCCTAATGAAACCATCTCATTAATCAAACTTCAGTAAGCAGTAAAAAGAATTTGAATGTTTTGCTTCACACTTGTGGCAACGTGGTTGCTATAAATTTCTGTGAAGTCTATGCATTTATATCTTATTTACAAATTAATAATAGTATTATACTTTGGAATTTGTCTAGCCATTTATACAATTCAACTGACTAAAAATGCCTATCGAGATTTTCAAAAGAATGGTTACTGAACAAAGATTACTCTTTTCGATAACCTCTTCATCATCAGGTTCTACACTTATATATACATAATAGTGAATAAATTAGTGTTGTTAACAACATTTATGTTGTTTAAATAACATGGAATCAATGATAATATCAGTGGACTACAGTTCGATAGCATAAACATGACAATACACACTGAATATCATAATAATTAGGAAAAACAATAATACAAATTCATGAATTTATAGTCTCCACTGAAGGCCAGGGGAGTAGTAGTGGCTAGACTTGCTTCTTTTGCACACATTCAGCATACCGGTTGTGTCAGGCGAATCGTGATAGCCTCTGCTGTTTGCAGTATGCGGTACCTGGATGTTTTTGGCAATTTATTTGGTACCCTATGGATGACTAAGAAAGTTGAAACGGGCTATTCACTATCCGTAAACAAGAAGCCACTTTATATACGACTGCAATTCAAGTACAATATACCTAGTGAAACAATTACGATGAAGTTAAGAAAATCAGTTCAAAGAACTTTTAATCCTGGCAAATTACAGGTCTCATTTACTACACGACCGGTAGTGAATCCCCAATTGAAAGATGATGTACTGAGACTAACCATTTCTAATGGTACCTATCTATTCAGCTGCGCTTGTGGTGGAGCGAGTTATATCGGCTGTTGCTCTAAGAACTTGATTCTGCGTGCTCGGGATAATCTACCTGTGTGGCTAAATAAAGGTGTAGTTAGAAGCATCAACAGCTCGATATTAGGCCACCTGGTCCAAACCGGTAAAGCTAATATTGAAGAGTCCTTCTCCAACAAATTGCCAAAAACATGCAGGTACCGCATACTCCAAACCTGAAACAACCGGTATACCTTGTGTGCAGAAGGAGCAAGTCCAGCCCCTTCTACTGCCTTGGCCTTCAGTGGAGACTATAAATTCATGAATTTGTATTATTATCTTACTTAACTTTTCTGATATTTTGTGTGTGTTGTCATGTTTACGCTATCGAGCTGTAATCCATTAATATCATTATTATTATTATTGATTCAGTGTTATTTAAACATTAATGTTGTCAATAACAGTAATTCATTCACTATTATGTATATATAAGTGTAGAACCTGATGATGAAGAGGTTATCGAAAAGAATATTCTTTGTTCAGTAACCATTCTTTTGAAAATTTCTACAATTGCCTTATAGTATTTTATAACTTTGGATTATATTGTTTTCGCTTGTTTATCACGTTTTATAAATGCAAGTTGATGTGTAGATATGTGATGAGGACATATCAAGTGTATAATATTGCGAGTAATTTCGAGGTCCAGCGTAAAGTAGTAGATAAGAAGGGCAAGTCAATCGATTAGGTTGTTAAGCTACATCGATTAAGATGGTTAGGACATGTCTTACTCATGACAAGCGCTACTGCCTTCCTCGACAAGAAATCTTAGCTCGCATAGGATTAGGTTGGAAAAAGGATTGGGAATAGTGAACCTCGCATCAGTCCATGAAGTCCCTAACAGTTGGTTTGATTCATGTAAGGAGATGTAGACTTCCTGGTTGAGGTCCTCAAGACACTCAACAATAATGACTGGAAACTGTTGGTGATATGGTTCAAAGTCGTTTTCAGTGACGCAGATGCATTCTCACTATTTGTTATTCTCCGGATTCATTAAGTCCCCATGTTTTTCTATGTACTGATTCTTTCTCCCATACATTTTTGTTCTTTTGAACTTTTTGTCTACTTTTATGGAGTGTGGGAACCTGAACTGCTGCACTACTGAGCAAAGTTCTGCGTTGAAATTGTCATTCAGACTTTAAATATTGAATTACAACACTATACATAGAATATCTCTTTTGAAATAAAGACAGAGAATTCCATATAGTAGTCACTAAATCAAACTAAGTACTCTTTTTTTCAAGAAATTATAACTAAATGTTAAGAGGAGTATAGCCAGTAGGAGGGAATAGGCGGTCAGCTCTATTTATCGACAATCATCATCATAATCATCATTAATATCTATCTCTTAAAGCGTATTAAATGCAAACGGTAATGCCTAACTACAAAATTAACAATGTATAAAGTTTACAATAACTATCTTCGATTCACTGGATAGTCAGTGTAGAACTCTATACAAAAGTGCAGCAGTTCGAGTTGTCACACTTCCAAAATCACATGAACACACACACACACACAAAGGCAAAGAACAGACAGGTAATGAGACTAGAATGAACAAAAATGTTCAGGAGAAAGAATATTTGAATGAAAATCAATGATTATCAGAATTCAAAAGATCTGTTCCATTAAGAATCATTTTGAGCCACGTCCCCCACCCTTTCCAATCACTGATTCTTAGCATCTCAAGGACTCAAGACAGATAGTGTACACCTCTCTCTATGGCCAACACCAACAGTTAAAGACTTCACTGCTTCTGGCAGGGGATATGTAAGACATTTTGTACCATGTCCATTGATTGGCAGCTTCACAAGTATCTCTAGACACTTTAGTTGATGACAACTACAAAGGAATCATGTTTCGTCCTATTTGAGGTAAATGTACCTGTATCTCCAGTGAGTGATTGTGTTATAGCTGAGACTCGGATCCATCACCAAGTGTTCGAAACACTTCGATAATATAGCTTCTGAGAATTAGTTTTAGGATAAACAGCACATGGTGCTTAATACTAATATATATATATATATATATATATATATATATATATATATACTAAAATGAAAAAAACTTTCAGACACTTACCTTCAATGATAAAAACTTGTCCAGTTCGAAGGCAATATAAACAGCCTAATAAACATGGATACAATGATTGAGGTGTTGAATCAGCTGGTAAACAAAATTGAATATTTGCTTCTTCCGATGTGTATAATTTATCTTCATAAAAAGGATATTCTAGGCTAACAGAAGCATTGATTGTAAAGCATAAAGATGATTCAATCTGATTAAATTTAACTGTTAACAGACGTAATTCTCTAGATGATTGTTGGTCATCGGTACGACTTAGAAGAATATAGGCTAAAGTTTGATCAGCAGTAGATGATGCATAACGATTTGATTGTATAGCGAAATCAACAGCTTCCCAGTCTAAATCACCGTCTTCAAGTGATGATGATGATGAATTGATCAATGTGTCAATAGTATATACATCACACAACTAAAACAAAAGAAATTATTAATTAATTAATTAATTAATTTATTATTATACACCATTTTATTCCTAGACTTAGAAAAGACTTTAGACTGAAAAGCTGATAAATGACAGAAAGAGAATAGTAGACAAGCGATTATAAAATAGAGTAATTATATCACACGTACAATATCGATGAATACTACATTTGAAAATGTATAACAAGTCTCAGGATTTCATCATGAACTGACATTGGTTGGAGGACCATTGGAAAACCTGGACACCTGTTTCGTCCTAGTCTGGGGCTCCTCAAGGCACGCACTCACTGAGGTTCGAACCCAGGACCTCCTGGTTACAAGGCTTAATGGTCCAAGAGCTTGCCTAGTAACCGGAAGGTCCTGGGTTTGAACCCCAGTGGGTGCAAACTGTTGAAGAGACCCAAACTAGGAAGAAAACAATTGTCCAATACTCCCTGGTTTTCGATGGTTCTCTAACTGATATCAATTCATAATCCAAATTGAAACAAATCTTATCTCCACGAACTAACTTTTGAAAATAAGATAAACTTACAAATCCCTAGGATGACGATAATGTACATAGTAAACATTTCTATTTAGACATTTAGAAGACAACATATTGAGCGAAGAAATATTTGCTTTCTAAATAAACTCTCGTCAATAATTCTACTTTACTATAAATATATAGCTATTTTAATACATCAGGCGTACAATCAAATAGGCTTATCGTCGGATTTCCATACATCATCCTGCATGTTTAAGAAAGAGGCGAACAAAGTCCGTTCGTAGCTCTCTATATCCTACCTGATAGATACTCATCACACATCTGGTGTTAACAAAGAATCTATTAAATCGATTTCTTGAATCCCAATCTTGCTTCACGTGTTTATCTTCTGCCATACAACAGAAGCCATTGGATATATACACAGATACTTTCGTCACACTGGTCATCTTTGCAGAAGTAATAAAAACTGGCAATTCTTCCCTTCCCTAATTGCTATTTACAAATTAATATTATTTTAACAACGCAAAGATCCTACCTGCTTCATCTTTAATGATTCTTATATATTCGTTTATTTTTAAAGACACAAACTTGGTACATTACAGGCCACCAAGACAAGCGTCACACGAAGTCTCACAGTTTGCGTGATGGATAGGATACTGCCCGGATGCCCAGACCGAAGCAAGAATGATTCTCACTCATTTGACTACTCATTTATTCTCCTTACTTCTCAAAATTACAAATTATGTAACCAGAAACGCTATTTAATTGTTGCAGTACTTTTCTTGGTTAATTATCATTCTCTTGACATGTTGCGGCGAACAAACTTACCACCGTTAGATTAGTAAATTTCTCTATTGTACTAAAATTGCCATAAATTTATGTTTGTATTAGAGCAGAGCCATTGACGAAGGTCTAATTGTGAAAAGTAAACTGTTTTCCTCGTTTAATTTGTTGTTATTGAAGAAACAAATACACTACTAATGATCATATTTCAAACACTAAAACTCTTTACATTTGATTATTAGAAAGGAAACAGATAAATAGGAACATTCGCTCAACAGGATAAAAAAATAATAAATTTGGATAGCTGTTTTGATATTCATCCTATGATTCACGTCAGTTAAGTGTTTTGCTATAGACGAAGTTGGTAGTCTGTTACCTGCGCTTATTCAGGTTTCACAATTCACTTGTTCTTCTGACCATTAGGTAGGGTGTATGTTCTCCCATCCATACCTGGAAGGTGCGAGATTACTCCTCCGTATGTATGCGCGGCCACACACACACCCATGTAAGTCGGTATATAGTATAGGATGTAACACAATCACTTGTGCAGTGTGTTGAGGATTGTTGTAGAGCATATTTTCGGCTGGGTTAGATAGTGAAGTTGTATGGATGATACAATTTAGTCTGTGTCCTAAAATCCTACTATTTATTTATCATTTGTAAGGTGATTTCATATAAACATCTTTTTCTGGGACGGAGTACACTGTAGGCCTCTGAAACTAACTGACCTTTACACCGGTTTAAAGAATTTAAAGGATATCCATTTTTCACATGTGCATTCATCAATATTTTATCCTCCTCCTCCTCCTCATCATCATCATCGTCACCATCTATAGGATAAGCTGTATAAATACATTGAATGAGATGCTCACTAGCGACTTGCCCTATTCAGGTAAGTAGTTACCTGGGGTTCTAGTGAGAAGTCGTGACCAGTAGGGTGCAGCAGGTTGGGTGTGAGGAAAAATACTTGCCGAAGACATTGGCTAGGGGTCGCGCTATGTCGTGAATTGGCAGAAGTTAGAATTCATGAACTGGCCATTGGATCGGGTCAGGTGCCAGTGGCTTAATGGTATACGAGCTAGCTCGCCTTCTAACCAGAAGGTCCTGGGTTCGAATCCCGGTGGGTGCGTACTGCTGAAGAGTCCCAAACTAGGACGGAGGAAACAGCTGTCCAGTACTCCTTGCAGGTTTTCCAATGGTTCTCTAACTAATGTCAGCTCATGATGAAAATCCTGTAACCAATCAAATCCCTACAAACCAACACTTGAACATTGAATCTACTTGAATAAGCATCTAACCAAGCTCCACTTACATTGTAATGAACACAAACCGTGAGAATTTAAATATTTATATAAAAATAATGAGAGTAATGATAATAATAATAATAACAACAAAATATTATAACTTCTTACTTCACAGTTTAAATTATAATCAACTGACCAAACATCCAGTTGATTTTTATACAACGCAAAACAGAGGCATTTATCACAATCGTTTGACGACATACACGTGATTAAACGTAGAAACACCTACGAAAATGAAACGAATGAAAACATAAGTGAATACATACAACACAGGACCTTTTAGTGCTAGATGAAGTTTACTTATGAGGTTTACAATACAACTGATAAGTCTAAATGATATGACTTTATCCTTTTTTCCTTTATGTTCCCAGTGGAACATAGGGCGGCTTCAAGGTTCAGCTTTGAAGTTTCGGTAGCAGTGGTTCAATTTTTACGGAGTGGGGTTATTAGTTGTATGCCCCACCCTTCCCTTTTTATAGGCCTTACTACCAGGTTAGAGAGGTTCAGGGTGTGCGTCAACCAGGAATCGGACCATGTGTGTGGTTGGCGAGCGTTCTACCGCCGAACCATCGGCGCACGTAATTCCATATTAGGTAAGTTTATTTGATATAGCGTAGTGATACAGAACTAATAACTCAATGACGTTTTGGGTACAACGTATTGCTCATAATCGTGTGAGTGTATGTAATTAGTTACACCACTGGACAGGATAGGGTTACAGTAATGATAAGTTAGGTGGAGAGGGAGAGAGGGATTAATCACTGGATCTTTATCCATTGAGTCAATCAATGCCAAGTATATGCAATAGGGATGATGCAACACATGTAAACCGGATGTAGTTAAGATTGCGATATAAAAAGGAAGGAGGTGGGCTATACGTGGGTATTACCATCAAGTGGGAAATATGCATCATTGGAAATGAAACAAAATGAGATACACTTTAATAATATGTCCATGACGATATGAGAGTCGTTAGGTTAATTATGATCGACTTCATTCGTTTAAGATTCCTCAAAAACGTTTGAAGAGGAAGTTTAAACCAATATACATCTACACTACCCAGTAGAAGTCATGTGTGCGTACCGCTGAAGACTCCCAAACTAGCATGAAACAGCAGCTGTCCAGTACTCTCTGGTTTCCAATGGTTCTCTAACTGATACCAATTCGTGATAAAAAAATTCAGACATCTACTACGCCATATGGACAGTTTAAGTTGGTGTATTATGCCCACCTACCTAATTTCAGTAATTTCCTTTGGTTACTATCAAAAGATTCTCAAATTAATGAAAAAAAGATGTACTAAAAAAAACAACAACTTACAAAGTTTTCACCACCACGAGCTGGCATCGGTTTTATTAACCCTGAAGTTGTGGTTGAAGAAACTAAGCTGAAGAAATTCGACACACGGCGGCTTAAACCAGATAATATTCCTTTTGAATGCATACAACCATCATTAGTACTCGTAATTAAATGAGTCTTTACGCCATCCTGTTGAAAACAGTAAATGTGATTAAATTATGGTGTCTTGAGAACAGGTTAAAAAATTGTGGAACTATTGATAAATATACAGTTGCAGAGGGTTATACATAAAATGGGACTCATTAACTAGTGCACAAACCTGGATGCAATTATTCAATTATTTACACTTCATACTTTAATAGAGGCACTGTTCTACCAGAACACTAAATACACTTTCTTCGTGAGCTTTAAGTAGAATATTAAAACTTGCAAAATGCGTATTTTACCTTGTCTTAAGGCCAATGATACTACTTTTGCTAACCAAACTTCAGCAGATGAAGCAAGGTCCACACTCGTGACCCATCAGTTGAAAGTCAAGTGTCTGAGACTGTCACACAAGGAATTAGGAAATGAAAACTGAAAAATGGAATAGAGTTAAGGAAACCTACACTTTGGACCACCTTACACTCATAGTGAAATACCGAATGTAGCTGGTCTACACTTGAAATAAGCAGGTAGGCACCTCTAATCAAATAGTTTATCATATAGACTAGACTAGAGCTGGTGGTGATGGTTTAGAACAGCTGGGGAATGACTACTTCTAAGAATGACTTTCAATAGAAACTGCAAATATTGACTCATTGTTACGATACTTCATGCATCTTTGTGATATTCTGTCACATAATCACTCTACCAGAAATCGGGTGTATGGGTAATTAATGATGCAGTATCCACTTATTCTTAGTTATTTACTTGGTGGGAGGGGAGGGGAATATTCAATGGTTTTAACTTAGAAGGTTTACTACAATTGGTGGAATAAGTTCTAATTTGCAGTTTTTTTTACTGTCTAAAAATGTCAGAATACGGGACACTTTTGTTATTACATCCGGCAAAGCACATAAATGCATAAACGTCTATTGCATTAGTACTTTCATAAATAATAAATGGTATGAAATATAAACTACTGGTTAATCAGTAGTTAAACTAAACACTAATCGCAGTTGTATAAGGTAATCTTTTAAATTCAGTTATCATCAACTTATTTATTTCAAGACTTACCTGAGCATTGCGTGTGTCGATAAGCACAAGGTGGCCTGTTCGTGTGGCAGCCACAAATGCACCAGACTGGAAAAGAAAGGAGAATTTGAAAATGCAGGCCAAATGACAAAACCATTTCATATATATATATATATATATATATATATAGTTCTTTATTTATTTAATATTCATAAAGAGTGGAAGTGATACCCACGGAAATTTTACTATCCAATCGTTGAAGATCCATTACACAACGTGTGTCATTTCATATTTTATGCACCTACGTAATTGTGAATACTTCTCAGTAATGGTATGAATAGTCTTCAACCACTAATTTTTAGAATTTCGAGGAGCCAAGTAAATCTACACTTATCTTTGTATCCTAGACTGGCAGTTAATGGTGACATGAACAATAGTCATGTATACGCCTGACTAACCTTAATTCTTTTCCAACCTGATTATATCCCAATTAACACTACCCAATGAGGAAGATGATGTGGTTCAACATGTTAACAAATGTTCTAGCTACCTAAACCAGTGAAGTTTTACAACCTCATCGATAGGTTTATCATTCTTTACCAAACATTTAGAGATTAACTTTATTATTGTTTAGCATGTTGCTCCGCTCATTTTGAGTAACTGAGTAAAGACATTTATGGTTGGAAATTTTTGACTTTTTAAGGTTACTTTTATTTTTGCTGTCATGTCCCAAAGTAACCTGCTGAGTAGTATATACGTTTCTTGGTAGGTAGTTTAATACTACAGCTACCTATCTACCTACTGATACCAACCGGTGCTAAATATTCATCACCAGTTCATTAGGGCCGAATCAACTCCCCACACAGGTAAACTGGTAAGCACATTCAACCGTTACACTTTGTCCCTTTAAACTGGTAATCAGTGCGGACCAGTCCTGTAGCATAATCTTATACTCCATGCGAGTGTGTTGCACATCGAATATATTCAATTTTTTCTCAGGGCGCTTACGAGACTACGCATTGGCGTTTCCACCCAGAAGGATTATATCTAGTCTGAATATTCTGAATCCAAAACATATTTCTGTGGTGTGAAGTCAACTTAAAGAAAACGTCAAAATCAACTAGTCAAATTAATTACTACGCATAGAGTAAGATTAAATAAAAGCACTAACAGTAGGCATCCCCAACGGACACCACTAATTGTCGTCACTCTAGACAACTGTAACGACAGCTATAACACCACTACATAAGCTCGGGTAATGTTCTGATTAGTCGTATTTTCCCAAAAACATAATCAAACTGTAAAAGAATGTTCTTACGCGAGGGAACTTACCACATGAATATGTTCCAGTTGAATAGCTTGATCTCCATATAGTCCACCGATAGGTGCTGGTAGTACGGTATCTACATGTACATAGTTGCGAGTCAATCGAGGCCATAGGCGCAAATTGCCACCACAAGAGCTAAGTGCCAAACAGCTTGTAGGCAAAGGTGAAACTTCAGAATCGTTCGACGGGAAAAGTAAGCCAACTAGGGAGGCACTATGTGGCAGATCACTGACAGGCAGATCAAAACTTACACATGAAGAGTGAGGCTAGTAGAAGAGGAAAGGTAAAAATTATTAGGGTGAGTCAAATGACCTTCAAAAGAGCGGTAAAGCATTTATATAAACGATTTCCACGAAACGAACACTAGAGAAACACGTACTTGTGTATTTGCAGATCTTGAATACTTCCATAAAAACAATTTGTTCCCTGCAACAACGATCAACCATTCTCCAGCAAAAAATCGTGCACTTGAAGCTGTAGATTATAATAAAGTCAATGAGAAAAGTGAAACTTACAGCTAGAAGCACGAAGAGCTTTAGATGGAAAAACAGGAAGATTTTCTGATATTCTTGATACTTGTAACATCCTAGAAGGATGCATCTCCACATTGACGCAGGAGTGGAGAAGGGTTGAACTGAGGCGTTTGTCCCCATACATGATTAAACTGTAACAAAAACTTGGAGTTAACTAGACACCAAAATCTCTACGATATGTGACCTTATGACTACTGCATGACATAAGTAATAAAATATAGCGTGTAACACGGTCATAGCAAGTAGGTAAATCAGAAGATATATATACAACATCCCCAGGAGATGGAATAGATCTTTAATGGCAGATCCTAGACAACTTGTGTTGAGTAAAGCGTTGTGGGCACCATAGAGGTTGTGGCGTAAATGTTGATTGTTAAAGGTATTACTAATCTTCTATGTTGTGATTACCTACTGGGTATTAAACTAAGTGGGGAAAACGCTTTTGATGAGAAATCTGTAAGAGGAATCTTCCCACTTACATTTACAAGCGGAAACAGAGGGAGCTACTAATATATCACTGACTTATTGGGAACTATCGCATCGGATGCCACTAGTTTTTTAATACACCAAAACCCCAATATTAGCGACACGCCATTTTGAAGATAACTGTACTATTGTTCAGAAATGGTTAAGAGAATAGTCTAAGAGAGAAAACAATAAGTTCAGCAGAAGACATTTTTAAGCAATTTCCCGGGGTATCCCATAACTAAAAACTGGACAAACACATTTCTTGCATCCAATTTACTGCAGAGCACAAAAAGGAAAAAATTTTCTAGTGAATAATGACCTCAGAATTTCAGTTTTGTTTTCGATGGTAAGGGCAATACACCATATTGGCAGTTACCTGTGGCAGCAAGTTCCTATTAGGAATCTCGTTCTTCCCCAGCAGAATCTACTTTGTTAGAATCACTTATTCATTTTATGTCACTTATTAGCATGGGCCCCCTATGTTCACTCCCGAAATGCGTACATTTTGAGGCCTTGCCGTCCGGAAAAGAAAATTTGTTACCCACAAATGTACATATCATGGCAAGATTAATCTGCAGCTGGTAACCACAGAACAATTTGGTTTGTTCCTGTAAAACTAATCAGCAGGTTTTATTCAGTTAAAAAGGAAATTAAAACCTGTCATACGGGAACACAAACTGTAGCTTTTAGGTGATACAAAACTAGCAAAAAACAAAAAATTCCACACTGTTACGCCTCTTTATATGGATTACATATCAATTTAACTTTAAGCCACATGGCAATTTAGTAAGTAAGTCGTTTCTATGCTTCCCAACTTACCTTCGTCACGTGAATCAAGGTCAGGCGAACGATTTTATTCCAGCGCCTTCGACAAAGCCAAATCCAATATCCAATGTCGAATTTTTACGAGCTAGTGTAAGCCAATTTGATTTCTTTGTGCTCGCCTCTGGGTTGTGAGGTAAAGGCTCCTGGTCTTCGGTAAACCTCTGCGTAGGTCTTCCCACCACTCGACCGTCGCAGCTTTTTTTGACTCTGAAAGGAGTGGTGCTGGGATTAATTATGTGTGGTTTGTACTATGCGGTATGTTAAGACCGTGTTGCTACTGTGAATGGATTTGATCCTTTCACCCATTAGTTATCCAGCATCATCGGCAAAAAGGGATATAACAATAACAATAGACATAATAATTAGTACAATTTATGTGGACTAAAAGAAAGAAAACACAAGAACAGACAGCTAATGAAGTTTGAAATTGATATATGTATATATTACATATATATATATCCATAATAATAATAGAGTAAGAGATGTAATTGTGTGAGTGGTCAGGAGAATAGGGCAAGAGAGAATGCGAGGAAGTAAAACGATGAGTTAAAATGTTTACTGATTAACAGTGTATGAGATTTTAAGGGAATAGGCCGTTTGGATGCAGTCCTTGTGTGGCTGCATGACTGTCCACCCTCCGCTTAAACCTGTCCACGGATGGTCCTGTGGACACATCTGCCAGTAGGGTGTTCCAGGGACGCAGACTTGTAGCGAAAAGAAATGTGAGCACACTCGAGTCCTCACCTTCTGGTGAGCTATTCTTCGTGGATTCCTATGAGGTAGCCTATACCTACTAAATGGCAGAACAACTCTGTTCGGGTGATTCTGGACATTTGTTATCCTATAGGCAGTAATCAAGTCCCCTCCCTGAGCCGACAGTAGCTAGGTACGAAGAGACTTAGTTGCTCTAGCTGTTCATCACAAGGTTTGTTTTGGAGACCAAATACCCCTTTTGTCACCCGTCTTTGGACTCTTTCCAAAAGGTTCGCTTCTCTTCTTAGCAGTGGGGTTGCAATGATATTAATCACTTTAATGCGTGGTCTGGCTTGTGTTCGTGTAACCCTATAAAGAGCTTAGGAGTGAGTGCACCTAACTGTCTATGTGTAAAGCGTATGAACGCATATACCCTCGCTATATCCCTCATGTAATTCACGATTGAGTCCCTCTTTTCCGCTAGAACTTGATCTATGTCTCGCTCCAGAATTGTGCAGGACAAGCTTTCGTTTCGCAGGGTGTAACTTCCATTATGCAGTCTAGAGGCGCGTAGTTGCACCACTTTGCACCTTTTCTGGTTGAAAGCCATACTACTGGCTGCCATTCAGCCTTCGAGAAGCTTTATATATGCCTGCAGCCTATCTGAGTCTTACAAGCACTTTATTGCTTTCCAAATCTTTGCTTCGTCAGCGTAAAGAACAATCGGGCAGACCAGACGGCATGGGGGGTCACTGATAAAAATCAAAACCATCAATAGTCTGTTAGCCCTGTCGACGTGCTCCCTGATTTGATCATCGATTGGACTTTCCAGTACTTTTGATACCACTGGTGGTAGTGCTACTGGTCTATAACTGGTGACATTTTGCCCGTCCCCACTCTTGAAAATAGGAGAAAGGATGGCTCGTTTCTTCTCCCTTGGCAGTTCCCCTGAATCCATCGAGTGTTGGGTTAGGATGCATGAGAGCCTACTGGAAGCCTCAGCGCACAGTTTCAGAACAGATGGCCTGATGTCGTCACAACCTCAGGACCTTCCAGATGTCAGTCTCTGTGAGTTCCCTGGTGCCATTGCCGGTTTTCTTTGGAGAGTAGCCCCTAGGTTTTATTTTGGTGAAATCGTAGTGTCACGACTTTAGCTCATACCGGAAATGCCCATATTGCTGCTTAGCTGTTCGGCGAAGGCTAAACTGAATGTTTCAGTCATTTCCTGACCAGTCAGATATTGAACGTTTGAACCTGCCATGGTGCATGCCCCTTGACTGGTTGATTTGCTCTTCGACATGAGTCGGCTCAGGTCTTTAGGTGTCCCCAGGGGGTTTAGGCGACGTTGGCTTGATATGATCTTCTGTCACTCCTGACTCTTGTGTTACACCGGTTTCTGGGTTCCAGGTATGCATCGTGGTCAGTCTGGTTCTTGCATATTCACCACATAGACCAAGCCTTCCACTTTACTTGCAGAACACGCTGAGTACCTCTCTTCAGCGATGAGGACCTTTTCCTTGGCTATGTTGCCACTAGAGTGACGGTATCTGAGATTACTGTAAGAATAGTCTCCTTTACCACTTCCTACCATTCGTCCATGGGTAACTCAGCCCATTCTATAGTCATTCTACGTCGGAAAAGGCCTTCGCATTCCGATATAGCCAGCCTTGCTAAAGCACAGATATGGTCGTGTAGCGTCCCATTGCAAGCACTCACGGAGAACAAGACTAAACCCCACGTCTGCGTGGTCACTACTCCTTAGGGGGTTATGATTAGGACATTTTTGACTGGTAACTGTTCATCAGTTAGAATATGATCAAGTTTCGATGACTTTCCACTAGTTCCCCACCTAGTGTCATCTGCAACATTCTCAGCCAGTCCTATATTTCTAATGGCTTGTAGCAGATTTCGACCGAACTTTCTCTGAGGATGCCTCAAGCCAATATTCAGAGATAGGGCATTGAAGTCTCCGGCTTTACTTATTTGGTCACAGTTCAAGTTTCGTATCCCTGTGGCGGCGCTGAGCAGTAGTTGGTTTTGCTCTACCTCACAGGCTGGTGATCGGTAGATGCCACCCAGTAAATGCTTGGCAGGGCCTACGGTAAAACAACCCCACAGTGAGTCTGGAAGCTTCTTAAGTGGTTGGTCCGTTGCACGTACGCATTTCAGTTGCTTGTCAAAGTGTATGGCAACTCCCTCTTTCCTTTTTATCCCTGCCTCGCCCGACCAGAACCATATAACTTATAATGGCCAGATTGCCGAACGAAACGTTGGAATTAATCATTTTAATCTCGCTGAGATTTTACAAATATAATTTTTACAAATGTCTACCTCTCACTCGGCGCCAGGTTATTTTGGAACTGTTTGGTAAATCTTGATCACAGTTCATATGAATATAATGATTTAGTTGTCGGAAATCATGAGGGTTGGCCGGGTTTCAGTAAGGATAATTATTTTAGGGCGTAGGTGTGACTGGAGGTTTCTGAGTTTACCTAATTTTCCTCTCAGCCCTCTAACATTGCTACACAGGCAGCTGACAGCGAGTTTCACCACCTCAGCGTGTTGTGGGGTAGTTGACGTTACGTTAGCTGCTGTCAGAGGATTTCATATTGGGATTAGCTGGCCCATTCCGGTAGAGTCGTCCTGTTGTCATTTTCTTCCTTGTATTCAGTTAGGACACTTGGGTGGAAGTGACTTTCATTCTCAGTGCCACACCACTGTAGTGCTACCGAGACTTTAGGAAGTATTGTGACCTGAGTTTGCTCCCTCCTCGTGGTTCGAGGTCTGCTTCCGTGGCATCGGATATGTCCTCGTATTTCACCCTTGGCCTCGTACCACCGTTGAATTGCTTGAGCCAACTGTTCTTAGAGGCTGAAACTAACACTTAGTAGTCTTGGGTAGTTAATCAGTGAGATTTGTGTGACAAGTTAGCCGGAAATTCGAGGTTGCTCCAGAGGCGCCAGAGGCAATATAGGATGACAGCCATCTCCACTGATGTACGTAATGCACGTGTTTTTCACGAACAGTGCCAGTTTTCAGCTCCGGAACACCGTGTATGACCATGCA